TTAAATTAATTAAAACCCCCAGCTAATATCTGTATACCAAGCCAGCTGTGCAGATATTATCATACTTGCTAAATCTTAATTAGTCATAATGAATCTCCCAAGCCAGATGTGCTGGCATTACACTGGTTATTAATTCCAAATTTGTACCTGAACATCAAGCTAATGTGCTGAAAAAACTTTCCAATGACATATAATTAAAATATAATTTGACCGTGCTTTGAGCTGCATATTTTGTTAATTTTTTTTCAATTCATTTTTTATATACATTCTTTCTCTGACAATCCGGAATTATTAAGTTTATCCCGGGCAAACGCGTCCGGTTTTGAACTGTCCCGGGTCTATAAAATATGACAAAACCCCTAATAATTGAGATTTAATTTCAAAATAGTTGTAAAATTTAACTATTTGAAGTTAATTAACAACCAATAAATGCAAATATCATATACATTTTCGATGCATTAAGCTTAAAATCGCCAAAATGAGTAATCCGGGCTCGCTACCCATTTTAGTCACCTGGGAAATGACAATCGGCGATAATCATGGAAAAACAAAACATTTTGAGATAAAACTCTCAGCGAAGGCAATTCGTATAGCTATAAACTATGTCCGAAAATTTCATAAAAAAAAGAACAGGTATTTATTTCGTAATAGTAAAAATCCAGGTTTTGAGTTTCGAAATTCCCGGCCCGGCCCGGGTTTCGCTACCCATTTTAGTCACTCTCAGGCCCTGGGGTGTTTGGGTATGTAACACTTTATCGGCGGCCGTACTTCCTTGTAAGATAAGTGATGTCATACAGTGACTAGATTCCACACCTTCTTGTTCATGCAGAATAAAGTTTGTTTTTGAATCGCTAAATGAAATATTGATGAAAAACAAAAGTATCTATCTAGACTACAGTAAACTGATGCGTTCAGAGTGGCGCCTTTCATTCTTAATTGAATAAATGAGCAGTTCGTGTTTTTTTATTCTTGAAAATGTGTCCTAAGTACATATGCACTAATTTTGAAAATGGGAAATACCTAAACAGCTACAGTATATAGTAAAAAATTTTCTTACAGACAACAACAATTGATATCAGAAAGTATATGACAAGTATATTCTGTATATATATTTACTCAGGTATGGTATAAAGAAATAAAACATGTTTCTGAGGCGTTCCTTCTGTCAACTGTGCAGACGAGATTTTGTTCATCCTCTCCCATCGTTCGAAAGGTCGGGTAAAAGAACAATCTCTATAGATTTTCAAGGAAGACCTCAGTTTCGGGGAAAGACAGATACTGAGAGAGCTAAGTGGCTTAAGGACAACATTCCGAGAGCACTCAGGAAAATAGACAGGTCAATCAAAGAAACACTTTCCTGTAAAAATAAACTCGTAGTGCTTCATGGTGAATATGATTACTTCTGGAAATTTGACAGTGAGGATAAGTTGAATGACTGGATTGTGACGACAGACTCGGATAATAAGCAGGGGTTCAGTCGAGCGTATCTGGCTCTCAGTAGAAACAAGAGGGCCCTGTTTTATGGAAACTTGAACACAGAAGTGCCAAAAGATGGAGAGCAAACCAGAGCAGGTTACTGCCAACTCAGAAGTCCTGTTTGTCAGGTATGGTATCCATAATATCACCATTGTAAGTCAGGTACGGTATTCATAATATCCACATTGTAAGTAAGGTAGCACGGTATTCATAATATCACCATTGTAAGTCAGGTACGGTATTCATAATATCACCATTGTAAGTCAGGTACGGTATTCATATTTATCACCATTGTAAGTCAGGTACGGTATTCATAACATCCACATTGCAAGTCAGGTACAGATGTAGTATTTATTCTTCCCAATTAATTAAACACACCTGTCAATCCAGAGTCTGACAGTATTTTTTCCTGTACATGTATAACTGCATGCATTTTCTGAAAAGGGGTATACGATCATTGAAGGTTTTTAGCTCACCTGAGCCAAAGGCTCAAGTGAGCTTTTCTGATCACATTTTGTCCGTTGTCCGTCGTCCGTCCGTCTGTAAACTTTTCACATTTTCGACTTCTTCTCAAGAACCACTGGGCCAATTTTGACCAAACTTGGTACAAAGCATCCTTGGGTGAAGGAGAATTTAAATTATTAAAATAAAGGGCCAAGTTTCCTCACAAGGGGAGATAATAAAGAAAAGACAAAAATAGGGTGGGGTCATTAAAAAATCTTCTTCTCAAGAACCACTGGGCCACAAAAGCTGAAACTTATCTGGAAGCATCCTGGTAAAGTGTAGATTCTAATTTGTTCAAATCAACACCCCCGGGGGAAGGGCGGGGCCACAATGGGGAATCAAAGTTTTACATAGAAATATATAGGAAAAATCTTTGAAAATCTTCTTCTCAAGAACCACTGGGCCAGAAAAACTGAAACTTATGTGGAAGCATCCTGGGGTATTGTAGATTCTAAATTGTTCAAATCATGACCTTCGGGGGAAGGGCGGGGCCACAATGGGGAATCAAAGTTTTACATAGAAATATATAGGAAAAATCTTTGAAAATCTTCTTCTCAAGAACCACTGGGCCAGAAAAGCTGAAAATTATTTGCACATGGAAGGATCCTGGGTTAATGTAGATTTCAAAATGTCTAAATTATGATCAGTGGGGTAGGGTAGGGATTCATTATGTATTACAAGGAGGAAATCTGGTAAAGAACAGAATGGCCAAAGCTTCTCAGGTGAGCGATGTGGCCCATGGGCCTCTTGTTTATTAAAACAATATGAGCTGCATGTTTGACATCAGAAAATTTTATTGCAAATTTGTGATTAACTAATTTAATGACAGAAAAATAAATCATTTATAAACTTCTGTTGTTCATATTCGTGATGGAAAATTTTTTATTAGCTTTGATTGAAGCAAAATTGAATTATTGTTGTCCTGTACAATAATGATTTCTTAATATATAAAACTGTATGTTCATTGTACAGAAATATTTCTTCTGAAACATTTTTAAACTTTATTTTGGGCTTATTGGTCATAAGGGTTTAAATTACATACAAATTAATCATGATAGCACATTTTACCAGCAAAATAAAATTTTCGAAGATACGGCTCATATTGCTTTAATAAATTGACTTATTGTTTTTCAATGTATATGTATTTCCTGTAAATGTACTTGTAGACAATGCGTATGAACTACGACTGGTCAGACTTCACCCACCTTGTGATACGTATGAGGGGTGATGGACGTGCGTACGGTCTGGGCTTACAGACAAATTATAAGAGGACGGGCGTGGTAGACTTTACAATGGGACTGACCGCTAATGACCAGTACCACTATCCCATGTTTACCCGAGGAGGTCCATACTGGCAAATTGTTAAGGTAGTACCTCCCAAAACCTTTTCTTGTCATTTCATTCTTCATTTGACAAATTAACTAAATATCTATGCCCCCTTTCAAAGAAGGGAGGGCATATTGCTTTGCTGCCGTCTGTCAGTCGCCGTCTGTCTGTTGGTCCACGTTCAGTTTCCATTCATTTTCTTCACAGTGGTTGAACATATTCAAATAAAATTTGATATACAGATTTATCATAAGAATATCTAGGTCAAGTTTTGATTTGGGTATGATTAGGTCATTCTGAACAGAGTTTTGCTTCCAAAAAATTTCCCATTATTTGCAGTTTCCATTCATTTACTTTGCAGAGGTTGCTTCTTTTGAAATGAAATTTGCTATACAAATTTATCATAAATATATATATATGGTAAATTTTTGTTTTGGATATGGTCGAGCCATTTTGGATAGAGTTATGCCCCTTAGACTAATAAAATTCAATTATTTGCAGTTTCCGTTCATTTTCTTTGCAGAGTTTGCACCAGTTGAAATTAAATTCAGTATACAGATTTATCATGAAAATATCTAGACCAAGTTGAGTTATGGATTTGATCGAGCCATTTTTACAGAGTTATGTCCCTGGGACTTAACGGTAGAAAAATTCCAATTATTTTGGGGAGGGGGCATAAGTGTTTTACAAACATCTCGTTTCACTTAAAATTACTAATTTGTTCTTTTAAATTTATGCCATATTTTCTACCCTCAATATCTTTTCAAGTTCATAGCAGCAAAATGATTTAAAAATGATGCAAACAGCACTTAAGCCTAGTATTATTTATTTACACCATTCCTGTCTTTTTGCAACTTTCAGATTCCATTCAGCAAGTTCTACCTAAGCCACAAGGGTACGGTACAAGATAAGCAGTCCCCTATGGATCTTAATGAAGTGGGATTCTTCTGTATAAATCTGATGGACAATGTTGATGGCCCGTTCCACCTCGAGATAGATTACATCGCTCTCCTCCGGGACGAGAATCATGAGGAAAATCACGCGTATGAACTTTATCAGGTGGAGGACTACGTCACTAATGTCTACTGAGAAACAAAAATCTTGTTTATCATTTTATTGTGTGTGTGAATACCAAAAATTTTTAACTCCATATTGTTTTTATGGTAGAACAGGTATTTATTGATCATGATGTGATATACTGTGTATGCCATGTCATTACTTAATAATGGCCTGCACGACATTTGTTAACGATGAATTGTATTTGAAAGAATTTTAATGAAAATCATGATATTGAAAAAGGTAATAAAATATTAATACTCATTTCTGCATTGACATTTGATATTTGCACTGATGATGTACATTTTGAGTCAATTGCGAGACATTCCAACTTGATGCCTGCAAGGATGTTTGCATATCAATACATGTATTTTTAATTATTAAAAATCATATTTTTATGATTTTCACTTGATATTTCTGTTGCAATTTGACCTTTTTAATAATTTGACCTCCTACTGTAAGCCCATTCTATCCTTAGGGGCCATGATCCGATTTCAATTGAGTGACCCTCGTAAAGGAAAATAATTTCACAACTTTTCTTTTCTGGTGCAGTGGCATTTTATGCAGACTTCTAAAGAACAGCATACATGTAAAATAAACCTATATATAGACATTGTAAAAACAAGAAACTCGTAACATGCTATGAATGCTGGTTTTATTTCCCCTTCTAATGTGCTTGTATAATAAGTACATTTTGGATAATTTATTTTTCAGCAAATGAAAGCAGAATCTGTTCCACAGTACATATCAATAAATACAGTAATTATGTACTTAAATTCCTCTATCTCTTCAGAGAACTGTTCGCACTATAATACTACACATGCATTGATTTACAAGTACTTAAAGTATTTTGCATTTGTGGAATTTTGTTGTTCTGATGATTGAAAAAAAATATGGTACAGCATTACTTTATCTTTTTGGTTTGCCAATCAAATTATATTACAGGAAAAGCAAATATTTAGAGGTTTCTTTATACATGTATATAATTTTAATAAGGATAATAATATATAATCTTACAATTTACATAAAAATTGAAATGCGTACTTTACCATTACCATATGTATATGGCACAAAGATATTTTTAAAAAAATGAATCTAAGAAAACTGTAGATACCTCATGCAACTGTCTCCTAGATAAAGTCAATCAAATTACAAGTGCTTTACTGTCAAAGTAATTAAAGCTGTTCTAAAACCAATTCTAGAATCCATAATTTAAAGCAATACATCACAATACTTAACTGTCAGGGATACCATAACCAAATTGTTTAACACCAAGAAGCCGTCTAAATGCCCTGTATTCACAATGCAATAAACACTACATGTAAACATGGAAGACAATAAAAATCTTTTGTTTTCTTTATGTGGGTTGGACCTTTATATTAAGATATTCTGAAATTCACGACTACAACAATACTGATATGTAGCTAGATTGTTCGTTCAACATGATCTCTTAGTGAAACATCAAGTTTTGGGGGAAAAAATTGTTAATCTTACATAAAAACAAACCGAAAACCTCATTTTGTTGAGTGGAACATAGGCTCTGACCTGATTACATATAATTAAAAAAAACATAACACAACCAAAGTTTAATATTGCCCCTTAGTTCCATCTCAATACATAGACATAAAAATTATTCTTATTTAATTCTAAGATCTTTCATGATAACATACTATCTATTTTATAGAAAGGGTATTTATAGGCAGTTTGCCTGTTGCCCAATCTATTCAGTATTCTGAATAAATATTGTTTAAATCAACATGCTATTAGATTAGTTCAGAAATCATTATTATAAATGTTACAAAATATACAACGTAAATACATGTACATGTGAATTAAGATACACAATTAATCATTTCACTAGTGTGACAGAGTACAATCATAATTATTACTGATGATATAAAAATAATATCTGATTCAGAAGTTTATGTCTGATAAATCACAATAATTAAGTTGTAAAATCAATATTGTAAGTAAAATAACATACATAATATCTACAGCGTACACTCTGGAGGGAATGTCTGATCGAAGTGTCCTGGGATTGTCAAAGCTTGAACACAACTAACTGCCAGATAATGAAGAATAAATCTAAATTACAGGGGTAAATTATCATGGATTAGGTTTTTGGGGAAGTCATTTCTGGGTGAAAGCCTGATTCGGGAACAATAGGAATGTCACACAACTAACAAGGAATCATTTTAATTCACAGAGGTTAATTTTTCGTGAATTGACAAGAACTTGAAAATTTTATATGAATGGTTCACAGTATTTCTATAATACAGGAGTAAATGAAGCTTTGGTTTACAAGTAGGAAAGAGTTCAATACATACACATGAAAATATGATCATATGGCATTCTATTCAATATTGGCCAAATGTAAACACTCAACATTGTACATGAAGTAAAATTCACAAGCCTCCCAAAGATTGACATGCATGTGGATGCTGTATGGATACATGTATATCATTATGCCAGACAATGACCTCCATGACAAAATACGAGAAGATAATTACTGTTATGGCAACAGTAAACATCAATACAATGAATTGGAAAAAAAACCTGTGACATAATAAAAGTTATTAAAACATGAAGCCTTAATAAAACAATCTTGCAGATTAAACAAACAAAAATAAAAAATGAAAAAATAATCCCAACTGTGAAAAGAACACATGCAATGCTATAAATATATCTCACCAATAAATATGACAACGTCAAACCTCTGAACTAAACTCAGTGTATCCGATTTCAAATCGTGGATGTCAACTGACATACAATATATGCACCAAGACAGGATTTCATATAGAACTCACTGGAAAATATTGAGCCATATCTTCTTTGAGACTTAATTATGCAATATTTCATGTTTTACACTTACACAATACTCATCTATACATGAAGTACATGTAGGTACGATTACTATTGCCAGCAATAGTAAAACATGACAATACACGATTTCCCAGTACACAGAAAAGAGAGTTTTTGGCCTTGATTATTATGCATCAATGCTGGTGAAAAGAACAGAATAAATCAGATCTCGGACATTTTTTCCCACAGAATAAATAAAATCAATATCACAGTCTTCTACTGTAAAACACACTTATAACAAATGTCATGGATGGATCATTTTGCTTGTTTATAAACAATGCGGTAAAACTCAGTTGTAGCAAAGTGGCTGGTACCTTCGCTATATCCTAAAGAACTACGAACTCTAAGTCTCTTAACTCTTGATTCCCGCCTACATTTTGTACCCATTAAATTCAATTTTAATGGCAATTTGGCCATTAAATCTTTGTTTAATACAAAGAACAGTTCTATGGTAATTGATTAATCATTTTATTTCCAGTGCTAGATAGTAAATTATCATTAATTCCAGCTGTTGAAAAAAGGGGGGTAGGCGATATTTTCTGGTGAAATGGAACTTTCAAGAATCACCATATTTTGAAATATTCTTAAATATCATAAAATGTATTTCATATCTTTTCTTATGTTTTACGCAAATAAATAAAACATATATAAATAAATAAAATACAATTATTTAGTTGTAAATAGCTTAAAAATTGGTGAAAAATCAGCATTTTTTCGTTTTTTGTCTATAAACATATGTTCCCCCCCATGAAACACAAAAAGCTTTGGTATAAATTTGTAAAATGACAGTCCATATTACCTGTAAAAAGGAATTTTTGTTTCACGGGGGGGGAAGATGTTTTAAAAATATTTTCCGTTTTCCATTGATTTCTATAGTGAAAAACACAAGTTTAACCAAAATTATAGAGTTATCTCTCTTTGGTATCCCAAATAAGTAACGTTTTATGAAAATTCATATAAAAATCTATAAAAATTTCGAAAATCGTTCGAATATGTTAACTTTTGAGAATTGACTTAGAGGTAGGCGGGAGAACAATACTATCGTTCGTGGTTCTTCGGTATATTTCCATATATTATTAGGTATTCTTTAAATTTATACAGCTTGGGATCCAAGATAACTTCGTTATATCTGTGACTTTGCAATAACTGTGTTTGTATTAAAAGAGTTTTACTGTATTTGCTATATTTGTTAAGTTCCCAAAATATTTTAAAGCCATGGGGAATGAACATAACTTTGCTGTAAGCATCAGTTCATTCTAAGCCGGTTCACTATAAGCCTGTTTTACTGTATACTAGTATATAACAGCAGATCTGAAGAGAGATCTAGACATTACGTAAAGAGATTCTACAAAAGAGTCCCGCATCAGTTCCCTCCTCCTGGCCTTGACCTTTGACCTATTTAGGAATGTATCGCCGACACATGTAATTCTGTCCTTCTTCCTTAACGTATCCGAATTTGGAATAAAATGGGACCATTTTGTCCAGGCACTCGAGGGATACCTTATAACAGCCAACCTTCTTACTCAGTAGTGTTAAAACATCTACCAGTCTGCAAGGAAGACAAAGAGAAAATTAGAGGGGAATACATATGTATCTTAATTTTATACATAAATGTTAAATACACTTTTAAACTAATGAATGTACTTGTGAGCTAAAAGCAACTAAAAACCAGAACTGTCCAAACGGGACAAAATACCCCCCGCTGGGTTTTTCAGAAGTAAGTTTTTCCATAATAAAAATATGTATCAAACACCAATTATGAAATTTTTATTCCAGTGAAATTAATGGCAAGGTCATGACACACCCTTGGGTCATGGGCAATCTTTCAGTGAAATGAGAATATAGTTTATCCATAAGAAAGATATGGACCGGGTTTGTATTTTTCTTCCAGTGACCTTGAACTAGAAATGACCTTGGGTCAAGGTCATGACACACCCTTGGGTCATGGGCAATCTTTGTGTGAAATGTGATAACTAACCAAGTTTATTCATAAGAAAGATATGGACCGGACATGAACTGATATTTTTCTTCCAGTGACCATGAACTTCCCCAAATGACCTTGGGTCAAGGTCATGACACACCCTTGGGTCATGGGCAATCTTTGTGTGAAATAAAAACCTCAAGTTTATCCATAAGAAAGATATGGACCGGACAGGGAAAATTTTCTTCCAGTGACCTTGAACTTTCCCAAATTACCTTGGGTCAAGGTCATGACACACCCTTAGGTCATGGGCAATCTTTGTGTGAAATGAGAACCTACCAAATTTATCCATAGAAGATATGTATCAAACATGATTTTTGAAAATTTTCTTCCTGTGACTTTGAACTTTCCCAAATGACCTTGGGTCAGGGTCATGACACACCCTTGGGTCATTAATCTTTGTGTGAAATAAAAAGTTTATCAATAAGAAACTTTAAAATGAATTTTTCTTTTTAACTTCCCCAAATGACCTTTCAAGGTCATGACACACCCTTAGGTCATGAGCAATCTTAGTGTGGAAGCACTAATGTCCCTCTGTAAGAAAGATATGCATTTCCTTCGGACTAGAGACGGACGGCGGACGGACAGACTACTTGGTTGGTGACAAGGTGTCCTATATCACCAAACTTCGTTGTAGTATAAATTCAAAACTTTGGTTCAGATGAGCTTATCATGTTTAATTAATATAGGATCTAAGGACCATAGGGTTTATATAAGGACTAGAGTTATGACCTATAACCTATGATTTCCTTTAGACACTCAATTATAACTTAACTGTAACTTACAGCTTGCCTAACTGTTTTCCTTGATATGAACTATTCACAACCACATCTTCTATTCTGCCTCTCTGCAATGATGGAAGGAAATTATTGGTTGCATTGATGCTTTTCAAATTTTACAAAATTGGTATGATTTAAGACATAATTTAAATGAATTATTTGCACTCAAAACTTTGAAATGAAGCTTTTTAGGGATATGTTTATCACATGTACATACAGAAGCACACTGTCGTATAAAGTGCATTTCCTTCACCAGAGTGGCGGATCCGACTACTTGGTTGGTGACTGTGTCCTCTATCACCACAGTGTAGTATAGGTTAGGCTGGGATTTCATTAGCTGGAATCGTTCTGAAATTTAAATCATTCAGAATGTCAATATGCCTGAGAATTACATGAAACTAACATGATCAAGTGTCAGTTTGTAAAAAAAAATTTTTTTTAAATAAATGACAAGATACTGGCCTTAGAACATGATTACTCTACATTAATCAAAACAGCAATATTCTTTGTTCTGTCGAAAAGTCCCTATGGTGTTTGACAAATACATGCACTAGCTGACTAGTATTTAGAGCATAATGTATTAGTTTTTGTTTTTGTTTCCTACAGAAATATAATACATTTACAGTAATATCATATCCCACATCGGATATAAATTTACAGTGCAAAAAAATAATTAAAATGAAAATTTTTATTTTGGCAATAAATATCATAAATCAGCATTAATATACTTAAAAGGAATAACCTTTGTTAGGTGTGTGAGGAGAGACAGGTAACCTGATCCCCAAGAAAATCAACAGGGTATAAGTTGTAAACAATGGGCCAAAAAAAACTTAACATAGCTGCTTAAATAAAATAATGTACATAATCAGATATACTTGGTGTACCAACAAATTCAGAGAATTGTAGTCCCCTTCCTTTTGGGTTTTGTTTAAAATTTCCGGTTTGTAACTGGCACATTTCTCATCCTCAAACCCTAAATCTTGAAGGATTTGTGGATCAAATAAATGACACTCCTCAAACCCATTCTGAAAAGTTAAAATAGAAGATATAACAATACATATATTATGTAAACGAACAAACACACTGTGTTGTGACCGATAATAAATAAAAATAGAGTTTTGAAAATTACAAATAAATACACTTGTAACTTATTTTGAACTGGGATGTAAATGAGATCAGAGTAAATTCGGTTAAATTGAACAAATTCATGACACGTTTTTGCCATTGACAACATTCTCTATATATTGAAACGAAGCTTTAAAAGTCACTTAAATTGTTGCTGTATAAATTTATAAAAATCCTTAATATTTGATTAACACGTCACAAAGTTGACCTTTTTCCACGAATCAACAAGCAAGTTCGGGTGCTTATTCAATTCGCTACCGATAAGTATTTGTTCCGAGTTTGTTCACTCCCACTAACTTCCTGGTACATACGTGTGCGATGAATTTTGAAAGGATTTGTGGACCCAAAAATTTTGGCTGAGTTCTTCTTTAAGAATTACAGAAAAGTAGAAATAAGACATTTAATTTTGATACATATATTGTAATCAATGTTATCATAAAAAAAATTCAATTTATTCCATTTTTTGTTGCAAAATGAATGAAATAACTCGGGTAAATTATGATAATGCATTTAAAAATATATATATTTATAGTCATAATAAAGAATAATCAATCAAACCTTTATATTATCATCATGGAATGTTAACAACTTTCAATAACAATAGCAAAGGGCTTTTCAAAAGGCATAAAATAAAAGCTAAGGTAGCTAGCAAGTTTCGCATTTTCTGATTTTATTAAGGCTTTCGCGAAAGAGAGGGAACATTTTAAATTCTCGACTGTCAGCATACCTATATTATGTAAAGAACAGGCGTATACACTGTCTGTCTAGCTGTTTGTCTGTTTAATGCAAACTTTAACCTTCGCCATAACTTTTGAAAAAAAATGATACATACCCGTATTTGGTATGCTTAATCAACTAATGAAGCTCTTTCAAATGACACCAAGGTCAATGACCTTGTGACCTTGACTGTGACGTATATGCTAAAAATAGAGGTTTTCTTGCAAACTTTAACCTTTGCTGAATGCCATTTTTTGAACCATTGACAACACTCTCTATATATTGAAATGAAGCTTTAAAAGTTATATAGCTTTTTTAAAAGACACCATGATCAATGACCTTGTGACCTTACTGTGGCCTATACGCTAAATATAGCTTTCTTGACGGCACACTTTAACCTTCGCCATAACTTTTGAATGAAGAAAGATAGAGACTTAATATTTGGTATGCATACTCCACTAATAAAGACCTTTCACATGACACCAAGGTCAATGACCTTGTGACCTTGACTGTGTCTTATATGCTAAAAGTAGCTTTTTTGAACCTTCACCATAACTTTTGAACCATAAAAGGTATACTTGATATTTGGTGAACTGCACCAATGTAAGCACACCAAAAATTAGACCTAATCCTAACCCTAACCCAAATACACAAATTTTAGGGACTAACCATTTAATTTTGGTGGTGGGAGAATTTTTTTTTTTACGTCCCCCTATATAAATGTTAATTTTTAAAAAGCTCCGTCATATTCTGTTATTCTTTATTTTGTTGCAAAAGCATCCTTGTGAAGGGCATTATAAAATTCAAATGAAGGGCCACGCCCTCATTCAAGGGGAGATAATTGGGAATTAATGAAAATTTGGTGGCATGTTTTAAAAATCTTTTTCTTAAGAACCACTGTACCGGGAAAGATGAAACTTTGGGGAAACATCCTCAATATTTAAATTTAAAAATCATGACCCCCGGGGGTAGGGCGGGGCCACAATGGGCGCAAAGTTTTACATAGAAATATAAAGGAACATTCTTTAAAAATTTCCTCAAGAATAAACAAACATATTTATAAAATCTACAGGTAGTGTAGATTTAAGTTTGTTCACATCATCATAAATGTGCCACAATGGCCAATATATAATAGACATATATAGGAAAAAGTTGAAAATAAAATTAAGAACAACAAAGCCCTGGTCATGGGTACTTATATTTAAACTTTTCAACAGTAAACCAATTTCTACTTTTTCCTAGCAACAGTGCTCAGATTTCATGTCAGGCTTTTTTTAAAAGCGCCGGGGAACATTCAAAACACATCTTGTTTTTTTTTAATAAAAAGAGATGGGGACTTTCATATTTCACATGTAATTTACCTGTGAAAAGATCTTTCCATAAATACTATGAATGTTGACCCCGTGACCTTGCCATTGAAGTTTGACCTACCTTTTCAAAAATTTTAACATTACTTAGAATTGATCACAACATTTTAAAGAGAAAAGAAAGGGCTTGTGACAAGACCTTTCCAAACTTACTACAAATATATATTTTCTAACCCTGCGACCTTAACCTTGAAATTTGAATTACTTTTCAAAATGTCATTATAACTGTTGATTGAGAGGAGATAGGGCGTTCATATTTGCATTGAGCTTTTCATGTGTCAGTGCAATGCATAGACTCAAAAATATGCAGCTCCTTTAAAAAAATCCTCTTCAAAAACTATATTAAATATTTACACACCAAACTATAAAATGCAGTATAATATGTACATTAGGTATGTATAATAAGCATGAATAATTGTTAGCATAATACCGCTCTTGACGTCAAAAAGTCAAAAAATATAGTACACACTGTTTTGTTTTAAAAATGACAATTGAACGGCGTAAATTTATGGCAATTATAATGTAGGAATTTATATTCATGTATAAACTACAAACTATTATCATGAAGCGCTAACGCGCTTCATGAAATATTCGCGAGTTCATAACCTCATGTCAAAAATTGAATTTCTTAACATTTAAAATTTTCGCAGAGTTCTGTAGAAATACTGAATTATACAGTATATACTGTAAACCAACTATTATCCGCGTCATTCTTTATTTGCGATTCGTCAGTTTGAAATCAATTAATACTTTTTTCATGTATGAAACAAATACAAAGCGAAATAATTTGTTTGCGGTGATTAATATCCATCTGAAAAATTAAAGTAGGTCGCGAAATATTTCTCGCACACGAATAAACGTTGGTTTACAAAATAGAGAACACAATGGAGAGAATCTCTGAAATAAATTCTTTGTCAGGTCCTCTTCATTTTGCGTTTTGACCTATTTGGGTACCTGTCTCCGTAAAATGTTGATACGCCCTTCCTCCTTCACGTATATAACTTTTATTTTTTTTAAAAAAAGGTAAAAACTGACCCAGTTTTTGTATAGAACCTCAAGGTCGAACAATTGATCACAGGTTAAACAAAATTCTATATGTATTTATGTTGCATTTAAATTTTATATTGACTTTGTGCAGACTTCTGTCAATTTTTTTCCCATAAAGTCTTTAAATGATACAAATATTGATGATGGTGTCTCTGTTTCTTGTCTCTGAAACCTATCATTGATTAATTTAAAATGTTGGTATAACATGTGGGCGGGAATCGAGAGTCAGCGTGCATAGCTCTTTGCATTGGGAAATTGACCGTGTTCTACGCCAGTCTTCTGTAGTTATATCAAGCATCAAATATTTAATTATTCAAAAATAATATAAAATAGCCTTCGAAAGAGTATTTTCATATATAATTTATCTAAAAGGGTGGAAATAATAAAAAGATGTGTTTATTTTCAATGTCAAAGTTATTGTGATGTTTTATTTTAAGATCAATTTGAATAAAAATTTGATGTTTATGAAATAAGATAAATTTAAATAAGTTTGATCAATTAAATATTTACCTAAAAAGGAATTTTAAATAACTGAAAGATTCAAGAACAATTTGGGTATTCTGCTCTGACAGTTGAAAATAGGAAAAGACGCGTGAAAATAAACATTTTTTAAACATTTTAAATCTAACTGTCAATGTCATTATTATAATGTACAAAAGGTCTTTTAAATCGTCCAGAAAATGTACTGAACTTGGTGTAACTTCAGGACGTTTTAAATATCATAGTCTGAGAATTTGATATACATGTAAAGGTGCAAAAAGAAAGAATAAAAAATTTATTTCATTGCGTCTTTTCAATAAGAGCATTGTGATTTATCCACTCCCCCAGTTTCTGGACAATACTACAAGACACGAACCATCAAATAAAATGGTGTGGCATTCCTCATTAACTGTCATGCTCTGTTATTATAAGCTGTGTGGTGTACTTGAGTTATCGTGTAGGATCTCAAATGATTTTTTTTTTTTGTCAGTTTCTAAGAAAATGCTAAAACTATAAAGCTTGGGTAAAACCAATGCCACCCAAGGTGTTCTGTTACGTAGCTCTACGTGTTCGATGAGAAAACACCCACACGTGGAGACCGTGTTAGTTTTGAGCATCTTTAATAAGGACATAGAACATTATAAGAACCTTTCCTGGAAGTCAGCAATTTGGTTTCCTTTACGTATGATACCTTTGGTGTTTTTAATTTTGAGAAGTTCTAATAAGGTGTATAATATGGATTTAGGCTTAAGACATTAAATAATTCAGGAAATTGTTCACCAAAAGCGATTTCTCGATTCACTAAATATTTAATGAAATATAAAAGCTATTAATTTATATCTTGGATATAAATGCCCTGGCCTATCCCTGGCATTACATTTAATGAAAAACAGTTTAATAAGATTATAGAGCACACCCCAAAAAATGTTAATTTTGTCTTTAAGTAAAGTACCAAACTAAACTAATAATCTAGCATTATGAAAACCTACGGTATAATTATGCAACGTTTATTTTGAATATATTTTGTAGACAATATGTTAAAGGGATTGGAAAAAGTTCTAAAAACTTAGACCGTCATCTCCCCAATTTTAGTCTGAAAGGGCTTGCAAGTACTCCTACAAGTTGAGGACCGAAGCAGATATTGTAGTGTGCATCCTCGGTTGCATCATAAAAGTCAACAAGGGTAAAAGTAACTTTAAAATGAACCTGCTTCAAAATATTTAATCTGGTCATTCATCTGGAAAATGGAAGTCGATTCAGCATCCAAAGCAAGCCTGGTAGTGTGCCTTCTTTTAGATTTTCACAAATGCAAGTTTGGTCAATAAAGGGTTTATCAATCTCAAAAGCCTACAAATATTTAAATAGGGCATTTATAAACACAGACCCCTGGAAATCCTGAAGATGGGATCATGTGCCTAAGAGGAGTAAGCATCCCCTGACGACCGGTTATACCCATCATTAGGCCTAAATATTGATCATGAAGACAGAATATTCCGTAATCAAATGACGTACATGTATATAAACAAAGGCTAACAATGGAATGAAAAACGTTTACAAGGCAAAATATGACTCAATGTTAGATCTATTTGCTATGAAGGTCATTATGATGACCAAAGACTTTACGAAATGCTGACTTTCAACTGCTTTAATAAAATCTGAACTCGGAAATTGTCATACATTGTGATTGGTCATTAACAAAATTATTCTGTTAAAATCACTTTTCTACATAAAAATACTTTGAAGTAGACATATACTTCCACAGTTTTTCATTGACAACACCTATATCGTCTTTGCAGACCAAGTCTTTCTATAAAGTGTTGGAATCCTAATAGGAACCAATTGTGCTCCTTTGTTAGCCAACCTTTTAAAAATATTTCTATGAAGCAGAATTCATTCTAAAATAACTTTTACATGAGAAGTAAAACCTGGCTGTGGCCTTCATCTTGGCATTCAGATTTTTTTTATCAACTGACAAAACTGTTACCAGTACAACCATTCACATGTCTACTCATTAAATCCCAGTGAAGTGGAAATTAAAGATACCACAGAGTCTGCCACAACTGTTTCATATCTGGATGTTTTTACTGACTAAAGATGACAAGGATCAACTTTCAAAATTGAATGACAGCCGAAATGACTTCAGCTTGTCATTCTTGGCTATCCTTATGGTTATTACAGTTGAATAGTTCTCACCAATATGTGCAGGTATATGAGCCTTGGTATCATAGACCTCAAAACATGCTTCTAAGCTTATAGAATTCATTTCACTCCTTTCTGGTTATAGCCTAATCACTATCTGTCACATTATTCTGAGGAGGGACATTTTTGATGTACTATTTACAATTGGAGGGGATTAAACCACAGCTGAGGATTGTCCCAGCACAATCAATGTGATTCACCCTTTTTTAGGAACTTATCAATACTATGTAAAAAAGACAGAACCCAGTTTTCAACAAAAGTTTCACCTAAAGCCTTAAAATTGATTTTGTAATTTATTTCAATCCATAGATTAACTTCATGTCAGATTTTGGTAGAACAAGAGGGACGCAAATCAATAATTTCAAAGAAGTAATTTGTTTATCAGAGCAAGTTATTAATTTGGCTCAATTTTGGAACCAAGATTACCCGAATGTGACACACATGTATATTTCACTGGGACCAAGGGTCTTATCTGAAAGTTGGAAATACAGGAATTTAATTCAAGAGGAATTGAAAATAATTCAATCATTGGTTCCAACAAAAGAAATCTTTGTTTGTATTAATTTGAGAAATTTATGTGAATGCACAATTTTACAATTAGATAAGCATCATATTCTTACGGCAACCAAAACTCGCTCAGTGTTAGGAGGAACTATAACCAACAAACTCTGGCATCTGAGGAAGAAATATCAGGTGTGTCCACTAATTCACAATTATCTACCATACAGCACCTGTGTAAATAACCTTCATTAAAAGAAGATTAATTAAAAAACAAAACAATACAACTAATCTTTTCTAATCTTTAATTGTGGCAAGCAATGTAGCTGTTTATATACGCATTTCATATAAAAATTGACGTAGTTTAGGTTTAGTTAAAAACATAGATAAAGCAGATCACACTTAAAATCAATCAATAAATTTTGTTAAAACTATTGAATCAAGTCTTCCTTGGATGTCAGATTCAAACATTTTACCTTCAGTACAATTAACATGCATTTAAATATACACTGATATGTCTGACAGCCTGCGTGTCTAGGTCTACACAAAAATCCTCGGCACAAAATCAATACGTAAGCTTTAAAAGTATTGAATATTTGAAGATGATATATTAAGGGTAATCCTTTTCTATTGCACTCTTCAAAATCTGACTTCTGTTTACATCACAGACTAAGTCTATCCCTTAAACATGCAGTGCCCATACAAACGTCGTTAATACTTCTGTATATATCTTAAACAAGTTACTACACTGAGCACCAGATTTATACATAAACAGTCTACTACAATATCTCACCGGCTGTATTTAACTATTCTGTTTAAAATATTCTGGGATTTTTAAATGGGAGGAATATTAAAGGTTTTTATCAAATACATTTTAATTCTACAGTAAATAGAACTGGAATCTGATCATTAAATAATCAATGCCTTATACCATGGTACTTTGAAATAATACAATATGCCAAAAAAAAAGTTGTCAGATTTCAAGATACCAATTCTTTTGTATAATTGATTTTAATTTCAATAATATTCATTTTTAATAGGATATAAAAATATCAAACAAAAAGCATGAATTGCTATTCATGTCCTCTGTATTATTCCTTTCATTTTATGCACAAATAATACATTCAATTTATTTAGTTTTTTAAACTTTATATATTGTCATTTGACTGATTTATAATACAGCTTACTACATGTTTCTGAATTCTCTAACAATGGTTATATTGACATTAAGAACAGTTAAAGCTCTTATTTGTGAAAATACAGGGACAACTTTATGGCCTCTCAAATTTTTATTTCTTGAATAAAGAATATCAAATAAATGACAAATTACACTTGACATCTTTAAAATCATGAACACACTGTATGATAAAAAAAAATCTACTAAATCTCTGACAAAATTCAGAAGGGGGGCATGCGTAAAACCTTCATAAATCTATTGGTTCGTTGTAAAACATTTCTTTAAAAAAATAACCAAGGTCAATACAACAAAACAAATACTGGCCCTGCTAGCAACTTTTTCATATACACACTATATCTATATTACTTACTCAACAATAGCTCAAAAATTCTGACAACACATTCAAAATCACAAACAGGCAAGCCATAAAATGAGTGAGTTTTCATCTTGTCTGTTAAAATGCCTACCCTAAAATAAGAGGCCTATGACTCATGTGAGATAAACAGATAAAATTATAAAAGTTCCTGTAACTTGCTATATTATATAACTATTTGTTCTGACACTAAAACAGCTGTCATACAATTGATGCCACATCTAGATAAAACAGAGCAAATTATTCCTATTTCATAAATATCAAAATAAAAAACAGTGTATGGGTACACATACTTGGAAATTTGTAGATTTACATATCATAACATTCACTCTTTTGAATTCATAAAATTCTTCAAATATCCATAAATGGTTTATCAGTACCCTGAAATCGATGAAATTTAATTTATCTCTCCACTTCCTCAATTTTGACAATATAAACATCAAAGTGCAATTCCAGAAGTGCTGTGACTTGTTCTTGCTGGTACATAAGAGTGCTAAATGTTTACGACATACAAGTACAAGTGACAGACACGCTAATCGATCTTTTTCTCGTCTGATTCCTTAATATTTCTCCTCACTCTGGAATATGGCCCTATCTCAGGGTCTGTTATAAAGTCATAAATGACCTTGACCCACGAGTCATAGTGAGGCAAGTTGTCGTAATATTCAGGTGCGATTTTCTTGACCTGAAAAATTAAAGATAAACCTTATAATACATGAAAACCACAAACTTGTCAAATATCTATCAAAACCAATGTTAAATATTCAGAGTATTGGTGAATCATTTCAAAGCCCTTTAAGTCCCTAGCAAATCTTAACACACATATTTGTTAGCATAGAGGCTTATTCTTCATATGTACTAGAAACACCAAAACTAGAAAAAACATGTACAATCCTATAAAATAATCTCTCCATTAAAAAAAACATCCAACTAATTTTAGAAGCCTATTAAGGATAGAGAGGCAAGCTTTCTGTGGCATAAATTTATGATGACAAAATAATTTGTGTGTAAGCATTTAAAAAAAAACATATCTAGCTAAAAGTACAAGGGTTGATCCAAAAGTATTGACACTACAGCTGTAAAATCTTTTTATAAATCATAAATTAAAGAATTCATAGCAGTAGTCATGGTTGCAACACACTGCATTTGGATGAACCCTCATATTTTTTATGCATGGATTGAGAAAAAGGTGCATTTTTATTGAGATTTAATAAGCACAGAAACATTTCAACAAAATGATTGTTGGATATTGGCAGACTTTATTCTACATGAGATCAATCAAGGGTATCCAACAACAACACAATAAAAATTTGAACTGTGTACATTGCTGTCGCTGAGACTTACCTCTGGCAGACGACACCCAGGAATGCTGGGAAAATCGTGATGTTCGTTATGATACCCTACGTTGAAGGTTAAGAGATTCAAGGGGCCGTAATAGGAATAAGTCTCCTGGCCTTTAATAAACATGTAGTGTTCCGAGATAAAATGTCCCGACAGGGGATGTAGCCCTGTCCCTAGGAAAGTCCCTTGTATAAAGTAGAAAATGGCTTTGATACCAAAGTATTTGTACACTAAAACATCAAAGGTCACTTGTACTATAAAGTTAACAATCTCCAGGGTAGAGACTGGCATTGGTCGTATAAACAATGGTCGGAACGCATAGAAATAGGGCTGGAGAATCACCCAGATCAATTTTGAGAATGTACGGTTAAACATCCTGCCCTCGAAATCCGAGGGGATGTCCACGTCCTTCTTCTCATCGCCTTGGTAACGGTGATGCTCCAAGTGGTACTTTTTGAAGGAGACCGAAATAGGAACACCGATGGGTAAATTAGCGATCATTCCCAGAATTCTGTTTGCCAGAGGACGACTGTGTCCAAATGCGAGATTGTGAGCAATTTCGTGGATGGCCAGGTTGAGGGAGTGGTTGATGGTTCCCCCGAACACATAAGCCATGAGGAACACGACCATCCAGGACTGTGAGGAGATGACAGACATAGCCAGAATCTGTAGGGTCACCAGGAACAGGACTTTGTACTTCAGATTGGGGTCTGGGCGCATCAGCTTCTTTATTTGGGGGTATTTTGCTGTAATAATATGAAAAATTTCAATTAGATTGAGTTCATAGAATTTTTTCTTTTTTGTTTTGTACAGCAGTACATGGTAGAGTGTTTATATTTTTAAAGCCTGGCCGATTTGGGACTCAGTTTAAATGCAGAAATCATGGCCAGAACAGACTACAGGCAATGCTATCTTTTATATCAAAGCCAGTGTACAGATTCTTCAAGTGTTGATTGTACTAGTACAATGAAAAGAAATGAAATCTAAGTTGTTACCTCTACAGAGCTACAGAGAACTCAAGCACACAAAAAAACTGAACACTGAGGCTAATACCTTTGTGCATAATAATTAAAAGCCACCATTTACCAAATTACATAATCCATTTATTAAAACCCTTAGCCTTGAGACTTCAAAATGAACCCCTCTGAGCATGGGGTGCTTTACGAAGAAAATAAACAGGCTTTTAAAGAATCTTTCTGAAAAAAAAAACAAGATATTTTCTTCCTGTTTGGACTTTCAAAACTGAATTTAAGTTTTTTAACAAAAGTAATTTTTAAACTTCTGAACTATTCAAGAACTCTTGATTTCTTGATTTTTCACATCATTTTGATGATAAAAATTTTAATTTAATATGAAAGATTCACTGAACATGGGCATGCATGATGGTAAATCTCCAATATAAAAAAATAAATAGTTTAAATATTTATAATCACATGCAGATAATCCATTCTCATTAAAAGAAGACCTTTTTTGTTTTGATTGTCAATAAACATTTAAAAGCAGCTAGAGTCTCAAGATATGAACTGTGTGATTTTAATGATAAACTGATCCTTTTTCTGAATCACTTCATTTTGTGAATCTTGACAGAGCTTTTCTGAAGGCAGCATGATGCTCACCAGAATAAAATACTTCTAAAAGTGTGCAATTAAATTTCAACTGCAAATAGTTTAATTTTTAAATACAGTGGACCCTCATTTATCCGGACGCTTTGGTTCCCAGTCAATTTGTCTGGATATGTGAAGCATCCGGATATCTGAATCACCAGTTAAACAAGACAGAATAACATTTTAAAATTTCGTTCCGATGAAAAATCGTCCGGATACTGAAGCATCCGGATATCTGGCGTCCGGATATCTGAAGGTCCACTGTATCTTGAATTAAAAATCAACACCTTAGTCCTAGTTCCAGAAACAGCATACTGTATGTAAAGTTAGAAAATGGTGCAAGATAAAAAGTGACAAATTGTTTTAACAAAGTTAACCCCCCCCCCTCCTCTCTAATCAAGTCCTCTGTATGCCAAACTTATTTATTTATAAATGGCATAACTGATATTATGTCAGTCTTTAAAGAGTCACAATGAATAAAGCCTCTTGTTAAACATATCTGTAGTTTACTACGATTTAAATGTTCTGTTAAACATAACACATTCTGGTTATTTTCCAGAGAATCAAGCATAGATCACTGAATATACTGAAACAATTACACATAGTTAAATGACCGGCCACATTAAATAAACTGTTCTGTGTTTAAACCATTCCTTATTGGCTCTTGTCCTTTGTTCAGATGTGCGATCATGAAAAGCTAGATTCCAATAAACAAACTGTAACCTATCTTAAATAATAATATTCTAAATGTCTTTCATCTTAAAAAAAAAACCAATAATTTCAAGACCATGTAAAAAAAAAACCAAAAATATATAATTTAATAAATCAAGCCCCTATCCTCACCTCAAACCTTTTTAAAATGTCCGCCACTGCTTAATGCATTACTTCCGAAAATTAGCTTGTGCATTACTCTTGAAATGAAAATTTGACAAAATATTAGATGGCCATTTCATGTTTCAATATTCTTTTATTTCTTTCTTTTTCATTAATCAATCCTATAAGTCGTCTTAATGTCAGTACAATAGCTAGTTTTTATAAGGACCAAAAAATTATGATCCGCCTACAGCAAGATTTATGTAATTTTACAAACTAGGATGCTAATGTTCTAGCGTACGAAATGGTGAAAAATACATCAATCTTAAAAGGATTTTAATTTTAATGGAATGTTAAATAAGGACCGTTATAAAGACAAAATAATCCATAGGCCTAATATTTTGAAGTCAAATGCATAACCTTCATGCACCGGCATCATGCATCAGCTGTGCACGGCGATACTTCTATCTTGTAACGTTTTAAAAAATACGAAAAATAAAAAGTTCATTATTTAAATACCCATTATTTCTTTCCTTCGTGTCGCATGTGGTTCCTCTGTGTACACCCATTCGTAATCTTCTCTTGACACTCGTGCGCCCATTTTCAGTATCAGTCTTGATGAAATGGCAGTCACGGCCCTTCTGATCGCCTCACACTTCGATCAATCGTACCACTGCACTAACGAGTCACGTGATCACCTATGCAAAACAAGTCATGTGACTCAGAAGTAACTACGCGATTTGACCCCCAACGAAGGTATCCCCGCCATTAACGTCAAACCAACATGGCGTCCGTCATCGGTTCCGAAGTAGAAATACAGGAGGTGGAGGTGGAATCCATCCCGGTTGAAATGCCCATAGAGACAGTTGAAACAACAGACGAGACAGTTGAAGTTCAACCTATGATAGCTCTACAACCGCTCCCAGATGCACAGGAAGAAATTGTTTTACAGACAAGAGAAGAAGTTGTAGGTGATCCAAACCTCGTGTATGCGGATTCTATACCTGTACCAGCCCCTGAAATTGAAATAAGTACAGAGGAGACACATACGTTGAAGAGAGGTAGAGGCGGAAAGAAGAAGGGTGCTAAAAATCGAGGACTTTTAAGCGGTTTAGGCACGGAACTAACTCTTGACTCACCTTCTTCAGCTAAAAAATGGGAACAGAAACAAGTGCAAATAAAGACACTGGAAGGAGAATTCTCTGTGACTATGTGGGCTACAGGTATGAAATAACGTAAATAAAGCAAAGGTTGGTTTGTTGTTAATTTATTTCGTTTTTATTTTAGTTTTAAATGTGTCTAGTTTGTTGCTAAAATGAGCAAGCGATTAGAATAGGTCGGAGTGCTCAAATGACGTCACCATTTCAGGCGCCCCCGAGATATGTATATTTCCTATGTATATCGACCGTTGTCATCTTAGTGTTTTTGATATTTACTCAAATGTAGCTTCATAATCGTCTTTGTTTTGGTTTGGTGTCGGCCATCATGTTTTGCTGGGCGCCGCCATGTAAAGAACATGGCGGTGGTTTAGCAATGGCGACTGGCGGCCATTTGTATCAGGTACATGACTACTTTGCAAAAAATTCATAGTAAAGAGGGACAAAGCAAACACAAAATATCTGTAAATTGTTAGCCCAGTTCCTTTTTATTTTGATTTGACTATCATTGAAGCACTACCGTGCCCTGAATTTGCAATATTAGCGAACATTCTTCAGCCGTAGCAGTCGACCTTGGTTATCAACAACATGGCTTCCTTGCCGAATTCACCATCTTGGCTCAGGTTCAGAATTTGTGACGTCAGTAAAAATTGGCCAATCACATTTCAAGATTTCCATAAGAAGGAATTTATTGTAAAAATGTTAAAGGAAATAAATTAATTTTAAGATAAAATTAAATACAGTGTTTAGTACTTAATAATCATTTAGATTGAAATTCTTGATTAAAAGAAGAAATAAAATATGAAAGAGGTATTGATAATTTTATTATCATTGTTGATGTCAATATTTTAAACCTCATTTTATTGTAAAAATAAATTTACTTAGCAGGAGTTAAAGATTTTAAGATTTTTAAAATTTCTAAAATTTCTAAAATTATTTAATTAAGATTAAAAACTTTTTTTTTAACCAAAAACCAATTTTTTTTTCTCCATGATGTCCTGTGCAGGCTAATATTGCCAACATTTTTGAGTATCAATTGGAATTAAATATAAAGCACTTTACTGATTACGAAAATTTCAAGAGAAAAAAAAAGGAACATTCGGACAAAATTAAAAAACAAATATTTATCAACGTAAATTTTCTAATCGCCATGTGGGCTACTTGAACATATTTTAATATTATATATTATTTATAATTTTAAGTCGCCCACAAGGAATATTGGTCGCAAATGGCGAGTGGGCGACTGTTAATTTCAAACCCTGAGCGATCATTATGATTGATTTCTGAGTTAAAACTAAATGCATTTGCCATACTTTCGAGCTATCATTATTTATCCAGAACTTTTATATCAGCCTTTCTGCTGCGAACAAAAACGAAAGTAGCCCGTCACCGCAGCAGAAACATCCAAGTCTTTAATGCGTGCTTTTCAGAATTTCGATTGTCGGATGCTCTCTTAAAGTTTATATTCAAAATTTTGTAATTAATTACGTACAGAAAGACCAGTTCTTCATGACCAGCGTATTCATTAAGTTTTTTGCGCATAAATTTTAACACTAGGCATAAAATACACGCAAGTGACCCGGAATTGGAGACGACCCGGAATTGGCGACTCCACTGTAATATATATACATTTGATTTCTCAAATTTGCAGTACACTGATTCAGACAATAATTCAACAGAGATGTTCAGTTACAAAATTTTAAGCTGTAAACAGAGATGTTAATAGTTTTGCTCCAATATTTTTGTGGACCCAAAGTCTGATTTACAAGTGATATTGTGTTGTGAAAGGTGAATTGGCAATTCGTTGCCCTTGGAATATTAGAAAAACCAAACTTTTTAGATAAAAAAAAAATGTAGCTCAAAAGCTGAAATAAGTTTTAAATTTCTTAAAAGTGATTTTTTTTTTTGTTAAGGAAGAAAATTGTAATATAATTATTTTTCTCCAGGAACAGATGATAAGATAAAGCTAGAAGAGGATGCCTCAGTATCTGAAACTGATGCAGACTTCACAGAGTACATGACAGGCAAGAAACTGCCACCAGGGGGCATTCCAGGACTTGACCTCAGTGACCCCAAACAGCTGGCAGAGTTTGCAAGGTATCTCACAGTTCTTAGTGGTCCTAGTTAGTATATATTGATATAGCTTCATTAATTAAAACCATGGAATGTAATTGATGAATCTGGATTGTATTTCTTCTATCATGGGAACACAAAAATTTCACCCTTAGATGTACACCGTATGAGATATGATCACTCTCTGTTAATTAAAATTTTAGGATTAAAATAAAGTATTATAATGATAATTAATTACCATATTACATCAATGCAGTAAAGTTAAATGATTTAGATCATTATTTTTTTTTTTTTTGCAGCCTAAATAATTTCAATAATAAAATATTTATCTATGGATTACAGGAAAATTTCCATATGTAAAAATCTTGTGCAGAACACATTCTTTGAAATTAAACTTGAAATTAATTTTTGAATCAGCATTAAAAATATTAATTTGATCTGTCTATGCCGGTGATTATGTGTGAGGGTGAATACATTCAGAGGTCAAACTATTTATAATGCAGTAGGGACGTGCATGAACTTGGGAATATTTTTTCTGTAAGGGCTAGCATGAATGTTGTGTGTGAATGCAGTTTGCTTCACTTCTTCTCCATTGGGTGAATGCCTGCAATTTGCAAATTTGACGTAAAGAATGATGATTTTAAGATATTTTTCTCTTCACTTTAGTAGTAAATTCCTATACACATATTATTATCAGTGAATATAACTGGGGCGATAGCGTTAACTTGATTTGGGTGCAGGCGTCCTTGAGTGCTGACACAGGGAGACCTAAGTAATGATCTGTTTTGTTATTGTCTCCATTTTTCAGTCTCCAGCACAGGGACACAGCTCTGCTGCAGCACTCAAGGTATTTATCTCACCTGGTTAAAGGGGAACCCCCCTCTGTCGCTCTTCTATTTTTATCCTGCTACTGAGTAGGATTCTCTTGTCACTGAAACTGTCCGCTGTTGGGTTCTTTGATTCCAAAATTCTTGGCTCTTATTTTTCTTGGCATCTACTCTTTTAGGGAAAAAATAAACTTATTGATGAAAGACCCTAGTATGCCTTAATTAAGAAATAGAAGGGAATTTAAAAAATATATTTTTGCAGCTTTCAGTGACAAGAGATAGAGCTTTTTTGTCTGTGTCTCTCTTCCATTTCCACTAATGATTTAGCACAAGCACTAGAAACTCTTTATTTTGCCACAATTTTATTTTCTTCCCTCTGCTTGCTTTGAGTAGGAAGTAAAAGTTGACAAAAATCACTCTTAACATATGTTTTTGATTTATGTGGATGATGATTGCTTTGTATGGAACTAAGTACAAAGTCACTTGAATCAGAAAAAAATTATGAAAATGGTTTAGATAAAAAGGTTCAGGACTTGCCATTGATATATTTTATGTCTGCTTAATGTAGGTTTTAATTAAGAAAAATGCATTGATGTAATTGTTGTCTTGAGATATGAAATTCTGTGAAGGTGCACACCAAAGCTTCACGACAAATCATTAATGTAAGATTTATCTTTTTTTCAGAATTAAGCCCAGAAAGCCAGCAGATGATGTGCCGCGGACAGTCCCATGCCCTCACAAGGTAGATCTAATGCTTAATTAAGTCTTCTTCTTAACTTCAGGACACACAACCCAAGTGTTCATGTGTTTCATGTGTCTTTGTAAACTTCAATAGTTTGGTTCTACATATCCAAGTTATTTTCAGTATATTAATTATGCAATATATTTTTGCCCCTCTCTTTATGTTTATGGTTATTGTGCTAGGGTTGCAGTAAGATGTTCCGAGATAACTCGGCCATGAGGAAACATCTACACACACACGGTCCCCGAGTTCATGTCTGCGCCGAGTGTGGGAAGGCATTCGTGGAGAGCTCCAAACTCAAAAGGCATCAGCTGGTCCATACGGGAGAGAAACCCTTCCAGGTATATACTTATATTTTATATGTAAATTTATCTCAAGACAAACTCTCTGAGATAAGTTTTCTAGCTTTGTTGATTTCACATTTCTTGGGTTTTGATGGTCCATTTTGTGTGATTGACAGTGTACGTTTGAGGGCTGTGGCAAGAGATTTTCTCTGGACTTTAACCTCCGGACTCACGTCAGGATCCACACCGGTGACCGTCCGTATGTCTGTCCGTTTGATGGATGTAACAAGAAGTTTGCCCAGTCCACAAATCTCAAGTCTCACATACTGACTCACGCAAAGGCTAAGTAAGTCCACTAATCTAAATATGCTGAATAACCCTAACCTAGCATTTTGTTGTAGTAATGTTATATCTATTAATAGTTTATTTACTTTTTTATGTGTTTATTTTCAGTAATGTGATATCTGTACAGTTAGGCAGTGACAGTAATAGCAGCGTAGATCTGTAAGTACTGGTCGGGGAGGAGAAAATTCGTCAGTATATGTGTAATATCTCAAAATTCATTTTACCATTACAAGTAAATACAGTAGCAAGAAAAATCTGCTTTTCCTCATAGCAGTTGATTAACTTTTTAGAATAGCAATTCTATTACATTTTGATTTGAAACATGTTTTCCAAATAAACATTAGGGATCGATAGAAATTCATCAAGATATTTCTTTTGTTTGTAGAAATCAAGCCACAGCGTATCAACTGCCATCTTCACAGTAAGTAGATGTTTAATCTTTGTTAGTATTGGAGGAATTTAATATAAAAAAAAAACAAACATAAAATTCATCAAGACCACCCTATATTAATTAACCAGATATTTTTATCCAAAGTATTTGTGTTCTGGATTTTGTCTTACGGTATAAAGTATTCATATAAAGGCAGGTCCCAATGTCCAGTTTATGTAAATGTCATCTTTTTTATAATGGACAAAATATCTAAGTTATTGTAAGAAAACGGATTGAATTGATTACTGACAGATCTAGCAAGTTAATTAGAATTTCATTTTTTTTTCTTTTGCAGAGAGACAATGCTAATAGGGTATGCCTATGAAGAGCAATGATATTAAAATCTGAGGTAAGAACAATTTTTTTTTCTTTTTCAGGATTCAAAAAAGCAGCAATTCTCTCATCTCGTGAAATTTTTATTATTATTACCCGGTAAAAGGATTTTTGTTTTTTACAGATACATACAGGTTTTCTTTTTGGAGTAATCCTTTGGACATTTTGCCCTGATACCAGCAATCTGTGAAGAATATACAGACTTTGACTGATGACCATCAAGGTCAAGGTCATTGTTGTCCAAACTTGGGTCTCGGACTTCGGCCTCGGGTTGTGGTCAGTGACTGTCTGCCTCATTAACATTTCATCCTCATGTATTATTTATTATGTTGTTCACTGTGGAGTGGATTCATTCGAGAAGTGCTTTTCTGACACTTGATAAAGTTAAGCCAGTTGGAATTGTGTCATGCCTTTCTTCAATTCGTCTCCATATATTTATTTGTTCAACACTGATAAATTGTCTTCATGCACAGAAACTATTTTGCTGCCCAACAAAATACTTACAGAAATTAGAGTGGTTACTGTTCCTGTTTAATGTAGCCTTTTGAAGCGTTTTATAAAATATTGAGACATGTTAACAGATTCTCTTGGTGTGTACATACATGTCATATCTTCACACAATTTATCCCGCTCTTTTCTGGCCGACACTGGGTTTCATTAGTTTGTTTACATATAAACCCATCACCACCATTTCTACACCCCTCCCCCCTAACATTCACACATATCCTATCAATGCAAACAACAAACTAAGTATTCAGTAAGAAAAGCAGCATTTTAACATCATATTTTAATGATGTATTGTTCATGCCAGTGAGGGATAGATATCAGTTTTATACGGAACTATTTATTGTAAATCTAACATGTACAATTTGACCTTTAACACTCACTTTAATTTTTAAAATTATTTTGCTAAAATTCAAACAAACTTGAGATCAGAGAAATCCCTCTCCATTTCCTGTTTTTAAGTTTATTTTTATCTGAATTATTTGGTGCAACTGCTACGGTGTATAAAACTTAAAGGGAGGCAATAAATTGTCATTCCTCAATGGTCTTCTCTTGAAAATAAAAGTAACAAAATATTTTTTGTGTTGTTGTGTTTTTGGGCAAGCTTTTTCTGTAGGCTAATACTAGACCCAAGGGACAATATAAATCAATCTGGCCACTGGGAATTCAAGTTTATTAAAATGCTTTATAAAAAGAATTAACATACAGTCCTAAACTAGAGAGAAACAATTACTTCAAGTTTTCTATCTGAAAGATATTTTAAAGGTGGACATCCTCATCTATACTCGCTTAAACAATGATTTATTTAGTTACAACTACTTCATACGATCAATAGCTGATTGTAACAAGAGGCCCATGGGCCTTATCGCTCACCTGAGTAACTTTTGTGATGCAGTTCTTTACCAGATTTCCCCTCTTCTTATATCTATTGTGGCCCCTTACCCACCCCCCCCCCCCACCCACCCCACCCCGTCTTGATTTTAATAATTTAGAATCTACACTACCCCAGGATGCTTCCACCTAAGTTTCAGCTTTTCTGGCCCACTGGTTCTTGAGAAGATTTTTTCTATATATTTCTATATAAAAATCGGATTCCCTATTTTGGCCCTGCCCTACCACTGGGGTCATGATTTTAACAATTTAAAATCTACACTACCCCAGGATGATTTCACATATGTTTCAGCTATCCTCGCCCACTGGTTCTTAAGAAGATTAGATTTTTAAAGGTTATTCCTATGTATTTCTATGTAAAACTTGGATTTCCTATTGTGGCCCCACCTTACCCCCGGGGGTCAAGATTTTAATAATTAAGATTCTACACTACCCCAAGATGCTTTCACATAAGTTTCAGCTTTACTGGCCCAATGGTTCTTGAGAAGAAGATTTTTAAAGACTTGCTCTATATATTTCTATGTAAAACTTGGATTTCCTATTGTGGCCCCGCCCTATCCCCGGGGATTATGATTTTTATAATTTAGATTCTTCACTATCCAAAGATACTTCCGTATTAATTTCAGCTTTTCTGGCCCAGTGGTTCTTGAGATTAAGATTTTTAAAGATTTTTCCTATATATATTTCTATGTAAAACTTGGATTTCCTGTTGTGGCCCCGCTCTATCCCCGGGGATCATGATTTTTACAATTTAGATTCTTCACTACCCAAAGATACTTCCGTATTAATTTCAGCTTTTCTGGCCCAGTGGTTCTTGAAATGAAGATTTTTAAAGATTTTTCCTATATATTTCTATGTAAAACTTGGATTTCCTATTGTGGCCCCACCCTACCCCCTGGGGTCATGATTTTTACAATTTAAATTCTTCACTACCCCAGGATACTTCCATATTATTTTCAGCTTTACAGGTCCAATGGTTCTTGAGAAGATTTTAAAAGATTGGTTCTATATATTTCTATGTAAAACTTGGATTTCCTATTGTGGCCCCGCCCCACCCTCGGGGGTAATGATTTTAACAATTTAGAATCTATTACCCCAGGATGCTTCCACTTATGTTTCAGCTTTTCTGGCCCAGTGGTTCTTGAGAAGAAGATTTTTAAAGATTTTCCCTATATATTTCTATGTAAAACTTGGATTTCCTATTGTGGCCCCGCCCTACCCCCGGGGGTCATGATTTTAACAATTTATAATCTACAATACTCCAGGATGCTTCCACATAAGTTTCAGCTTTCCTGGCCCAGTGGTTCTTGAGAAGAAGATTTTTTAATGATCCCACCCTATTTTTGTCTTTTCTTGATTATCTCCCCTTGGAAGGGGACCTGGCCCTTTATTTTAACAATTTAAACTCCCCATCGCCCAAGGATGCTTTGTACCAAGTTTGGTTAAAATTGGCCCAGTGGTTCTTGAGAAGAAGTTAAAAATGTGAAAAGTTTACAGACGGACGGACTACGGACAAAATGTGATCAGAAAAGCTCACTTGAACCTTCGGCTCAGGTGAGCTAAAAATATCATTATACCACTCCTTTAGAAATAGTGAAATTAGGGTGGATCTTTCCAAAACCGCTTTACCAGAAATGATGTTTCCTTGTACATGTAGTTGTGTAAATCTTTGCCTCTGGCACAGAGATTCAATGATTTTCATTGAGAATGTGTTAGGTGTGCCAGTGGCAGCGCCTGAGTAAGCAGCCATGATCAGTCTACATTGTGGGTAAGTCGATTAAGGACAGATGATACAAACAAAATTATAGATGTCTGGATTGGAATATATTTCGGGCCTATTTTTGTTGCAAATGATGCAACTAATAAATTTCCAAAAATATGTAAGAAATAGTAAACTTTCTATATTAAAAATTCTACATTTCTGCAGCTATCCTTATCAATCGAAACAAATATTTTTCACTTCAAATTCCATTTTTGTGAAACTTAAAAAAATCTAAACAATAAGTGGTTAAATTTATTCATGTTACTCATTGAAACATGACTGGTTATTTTCAATTTTTAGGACAAAAGTTTGTATAATCTGTCCTTGAGCTGGTAAAACTTGATAGGTTTGTCATGCTTCAATATAGCATCCATGGAGATAGTCGAGTTGAAAGTTGTTTATTAAAATGGATTCTTTCATTCAGAAATAGTTGATAAAATCACTTTTAATTATCTTTTCTCTATACCTGATCGACCATGTCAAATTTCTCTACCCTCTTATTTTGCTGATCATGCTGAGCAGAAGAGAAATCAAAATCTGGTTATGAGATTTTATTTTTAGTTACGGGTGACAACAACCTTACATAGGTGAAATTACCACACGGTAGAGATACCTGGCAGTCACAATATTGCAGTACATCCCGAAATCATAACAAAACAAATCAACAATGTCATATATCACCAAATCTTAAAAAGGAAAAGGGGGGAGAAAAAAAATCTATCACACATGGGGGGAACGAAAAATTGAAATTAAAAATTTAATGTACACAATCCCTCCTCTCTCAAAGCCCACATATTTCACCCACTTTTTGTTACGGACTAATAAAGTTATTTAAACAGAAGCACAATAAACAAATATATACAATCAGGACTCTTAATATTAAAAAAATTAATTCATTGCAAAATAAATTGCTTTTTTCTTACATATGTAGAAATGACTACTTTTACCCTAAAATGTAAGGTTAACTACTGCTCAAATTCATTGCAAAATAGATTGACCACCAATGATTGGGTAAAAAAAATAAGTAATAAGGATTTCATGATGCAGGCATAAAAAAGGAAAAATGGCCCTAAAAATAGGTCAATTGAACTAGTCCAAGGTTATCTGCATGACTGACTAATTTGTTGAGGACACATAAAAATGTACATATATTTTGTTGTCAAAGCATAACAAAACTTCAGACTAGTAAACTAAGAGACCTCTTTTTGTTCAATCTAATACAATTTACACCCTGTAATACTATATTACATTTAAATAAAAAATATGCAAAGCTGCTGATAAAACAAATAACTCCATTCTAAAGACCTCAACAAAATCAGAGCCAGTTTCTACCTCTACAGCGTAAATACACATCATGATGTGAATATTTTTTAACGAGAAATTTTGGCAAGCTGTTTTTATGGCAGTTAATGCTGATCACACTTAGGGTTATGGTCCTTAAAAAAATGACAAATGTGACATGGCAACACTGAATATAATGCTTTAGTTTACAGAAAATTATCAAAATACAATCTCAGTGAACTGTTTACTAGTTTTGTTCGGTATACGCACATATAGAAGATGATATTAATGGCTAAAAGATACATTTTGTACCATGTAATACAAAATGATGGGGCATGATCAGTGTCTGCAAAAATTGACACAATTTAAACAAGAGGCCCAGGGGCCACATCGCTCACCTGAGCAATTGGCTAGGAAAAACACAGATCAGATCAGAACTGAAAGTAAACTGGGGGAGGGGGGCTTGAATTTTACACCCCCCCCCAGGGGGTCATGATTTGAATAAACTTGAATCTACACTACCTGAGCTAGGATGATTCCCTATAAATATAACGAAGCCTGGCTTTGAAGTACTTGAAAAGAAGATTTTAAAAGGTTTCCCTATATGTTCCTTTGTGAAACTTTGATCGGCCATTTTGGCCCCACCCTACCCCCGGGGGTCATAATTTGAACAAACTTGAATCTACACTACCTAAGGATGATTCCACATGCGTTTCATATTTTCTGGCCCAGTGGTTCTTGAGAAGAAGATTTTTAAATATTTTTCCTATATATTCCTTTGTAAAACTTTGATCGGCCATTTTGGCCCCACCCTATCTCCGGGGGTCATGATTTGAACACACTTGAATCTACACTACCTGAAAATGATCCCACATAAGTTTCATCTTTTCGGCCCCTGTGGTACTTGAGAAGAAGATTTTTAAAGATTTTCCCTATATATTCCTTTGTAAAACTTTGATCAGCCATTTTGGCCCCACCCTTCCCCCGGGGGTCATGATTTGAAAAAACTTGAATCTACACTACTTGAGGATGATCCCAAATGAATTAATAATCTTTCCTAGCCCAGTGGTACTTGAGAAGAAGATTTTTAAAGATTTTTCCTATATATTCCTATGTAAAACCTTGATCGGCCATTTTGGCCCCACCCTTCCCCCGGGGGTCATGATTTGAACAAACTTGAATCTACACTATCTGAAAATGATCCCACATGAGTTTCATCTTTCCTGGCCCAGTGGTTCTTGAGTAGAAGATTTTTAAAGATTTTTCCTATATATTCCTATGTAAAACTTTGATCGGCCATTTTGGCCCCACCCTACCCCCGGGGGTCATGATTTGAACAAACTTGAATCTACACTACTTGAATGATCCCACATGAGTTTCATCTTTCCTGGCCCAGTGGTTCTTGAGAAGAAGATTTTTTGAAAATGCCATTAATTTTTCTCTAATTCATAATTATCTCCCCTTGGAAAAGGGCCTGGCCCTTCATCTGAAAAAACTTGAATCCCCTTCACCCAAGGATACTTTGTACTAAGTTTGGTTGAAATTGGCCCAGTGGTTCTTGAGAAGAAGTCGAAAACGTGAAAAGTCAACAACGACAACGACAACGACGACAGACAACGGACAAATTTTGATCAGAAAAGCTCACTTGAGCCTTCGGCTCAGGTGAGCTAAAAATACCAGAATGAAATGTGATGCTGCTATATCTTAACTACCCTAAATAAGGAGATCCAAGTCTAGCCCTCAAGTAATTTGTCTTTAGTCTCTACGACAACACATAATTTGTCGTTTGTCTCTTCGACAACACGTAATTTGTTGTTCGTCTCTACGACAACATGTTACACACGAGTACCGGTATATTAATGTGGAGCATCCCCAGATCATAGATACATGTATACAGAACAACACAGACATTACAAAAGTAGGGTCGTATTACAAAACTCCGATGTATAAAACTACATGTACAAAAATGGACTGGTTAATTTTCCTGTACACAAGTTTTGTTCTTGGTTAAATATACACACATATTAATACAATTTTAAATTTGAACATGCCCTAATTAAATGGATACCACAAATAAAACAATAAATTACTTCATACAAAATTAATACATTTTTTTAATTAAGTACAATATTAGAGCTTAGTCAGAACAATACTGAGGTTATTCAGACCAGATCACACAACGACAGGGAGACAACTCTATACTGGCCTAGTTTTATTTGTACTCCCTACAGAGGAATTGAGACAACTCACTGACATAGTCTTATAATTAGGCACCTCAGAAAAACGGTCACGTGGAAAGACCTACTCAAAGTGTGAAAACCAATCCAGATGTAATATGCTTTGCTTTCTACACAGCACCCATCTCACAGTTACAACAGGATGCACTGATTTACAAGTTAGTAATTTTAGCACTATTAATCTAAATGATGTACGACACTAATCATTTGATTGGAAAATATTCCTACATTATTTATAATAGGAATATACTTGTACAATTCTAATACATTTTTATGACTAATGTGTTTACTAAAATAAGAGGCAAGGTCAAAACAATTTAAAAATCCAGTGTACAAATAATTGCTGGCACTTGTCTACACGAATACAAAAACAACTCAGTCATTTGTGAAAATCACAAATTTTTGTCATGAATCAAGTAAGTATGGCTGGTCAAGGTTAGCTTATCCTCAATAGAAAAAAAATGAGTCGTTACAAAAACTCTCTGGTAAAAGAGGGAAGCCCTGATATATAAAACATCTCCATCTGAATTTTCCCAGGGTGTTGCACCTTGGTGGTTAGAGACTGTAAGACCTGCGGGTTGAGGAAATCAGATAGGGTCTGGGTTCCCTAGGAGAGTGATCGGAAAATGTTTTATGTGGGTCTGCCAATTCGTGGACAACTGGAAAAATTTCACTCCTGTCCATTCAACCCCATCCACCATAACTGTAAAGTACAGGATAATCTTTAATAGCAAGGCATCAGCTTTTAAAACAAGATTAATCAGTAGAATAGACTAAAAGATTATTTTTTTGCGCCCGGATCGATAGATCTGAGGCATATATTGTTTTTGTCCTGTCTGTTTGTCTGTCTGTCTGCTGAAAACTTTTACCTTCGCCATATATTTTGAACCTTGAGATATAGAGACTTCATAGTTGGTATGCATACTCCACTAATAATGATCTTTCAAAAAACACCAAGGTCAATGACCTTGTGACCTTGACTGTGACCTACATGCTAAAAATAGCTTTTTCAAAATTTTGCCATAAATTTCGAAGCATAAGAGATAGAGACTTCATATTTGATATGCATACTTCACTAATAAAGCTCATACAAATGACACCAAAGTCATTGACCTTGTGACCTTAATGCTAAAAAATAACTATTTTCGAACTTTTGCCATAAATTTTGAACCATAGGAAATATAGACTTCATATTTGGTATGCATACTCCACTACTAAAGTTCTTCAAATGACATTAATATCAATGACCTTGTGACCTTCACTGTGACCTATATGCTAAAAATAGTTTTTTGTAACTTTGTTGCCGCCAGGCGCATAGTGTTTCACAAACACATCTTGTTTAGACCTGTAGTGATGACATTTCCTACCAGATGGTGGAGCTAATTTGAGCAAATTAAGTACCATTACATATATACTACAGTTGTATAAGGAATCTGATACCAATCATATTTTGTATCTCTTGTGTTTTACCTCAGAGAGAGAGAGAGCAGTTATGTGTCTTACCTTTGAGAGAGTAGCTTTGTGTTTTGGTTGTACAGATCAGTCGATTTATCCCCTCCACAATCTGACTCTTAGATTCTCCCTCCTTGGCTTTCTTCCCCAGCCTCATAACTACAAACAAGAGGCCCAGGGGCCACATCGCTCACCTGAGCAATTGGCTAGGAAAAAGCTCATACCAGATCATATCAGAACTGAAAGTTTACTGAGAGGGGGGGGGGGGAGGGCTTGAAATTAAACCCTCCAGGGGTCATGATATGTACAAACTTGAATCTAATCTACACAACCTAAGAATAATTCCCTATAAATATCATAAGGTTTCTTTATATATTCCTATGTAAAACTTTTATAGGTTATTTGCCCAACCCTACCCCTGGGGGTCTTGTTGTGAATAAACTTAAATCTACACTATCCGGGGATGATTCCACAGGAGTTTCATCTTTCCTGTCTCAATGGTTCTTGAGAAGAAGATTTTTCCTATATATTCCTATGTAAAATTTTGATCGGCCATTTTGGCCCCACCCTACCCCTGGGGGTCATGATTTGAACAAACTTGAATCTACACTACCTGAGGATGATTCCACATAAGTTTCATCTTTCCTGGCCCAGTGGTTCTTGAGAAGAAGATGTTTAAAGATTTTTCCGTTATATTCCTATGTTAAACTTTGATCAGCCATTTTGGCCTTACCCTACCCCCGGGGGTCATGATTTGTACAAACTTGAATCTTCATTACCTGAGGATGATTCCACAAAAGTTTTATCATTCCTGGCCCAGTGTTTCTTGAGAAGAAGATTTTTAAAGATTTTTCCACTATATTCCTATGTAAAACTTTGATCGGCCATTTTGGCCCCACCCTACCCCTGGGGGTCATGATATGAACTAACTTGAATCTACACTACCTGAGGATGATTCCACATAAGTTTCATCTTTCCTGGCCCAGTGGTTGTTGAGAAGAAGATTTTTAAAGATTTTTCCTATATATTTCTATGTAAAACTTTGGTCGGCCATTTTGGCCCCGCCCTAACCCTGGGGGTCATGATATGAACTAACTTGAATCTACACTACCTGTGAATGCTTCCATGTAAATATGATCAATTGTGGCTTTGCTATTCTCGAGAAGAAGATTTTTAAAGAATTTTCCTATATATTTCTATATAAAACTTTGGTCCGCCATTTTGGCCCCGCCCTACCCCCAGGGGTCATGATATGAACAAACTTGAATCTGATCTACCTGTGAATGCTTCCATATAAATATGATCAATTGTGGCTTTGCTATTCTCGAGAAGAAGATTTTTAAAGTATTTTCCTATATATTTCTATGTAAAACTTTGGTCGGCCATTTTGGTCCCGCCCAACCCCCGGGGGTCATGATATGAACAAACTTGAATCTACACTACCTGAGGATGTTTCCCCAAAAGTTTCATCTTTACTGGCACAGTGGTTCTTGAGAAGAAGATTTTTAAAAGATACCACCATTTTTTCATTAATTCCCAATTATCTCCCCTTGAATGAGGGCGTGGCCCTTCATTTGGACAAATTTGAATCCCCTTCACCTAAGGATACTTTGTAGTAAGTTTGGTTGAAAATGGCCCAGTGGTTCTTGAGAAGAAGATGAAAATGTGAAAAGTTTACAACAACCACGATGACGACAACGACGACGACAACAACGACAGACAACGGACAAATTGTGATCAGAAAAGCTCACTTGAGCCTTTGGCTCAGGTGAGCTAACAAAGAGATACTATTATAATATCTATGTAAAACATTCAGTAAACAATACATGGAACAGTTTCTCTGAAATTGAGAGGAGTGGTAGGAAGACAAACATGATAAACATAAAATTATCCACTGCCTGGATTTGAAACTTTACACTCAGAATGAATGGATGAGGGGGTTTCAAGAAATATTTCCCTATGAGATGCATTTTTTCCCCTCCCCTCAGTCTATAGGAGTCTCACTTACTTATGTGTTTCTTCTCTTTGGTCACCACTACCATGGAGAACGCGGTGAGGTCGACGGGATTCTGAGCCAGCCTCTGGACCTGTAGGGAGCGGAACGTCGTCTTCAGCGTACACTTGTTACTGTCCTTCTTACTGGCCTTGTCCGTCTTCTCGGTGCTCTCAGACTTAGAGGCCGTCGTCCAGTAGTCCACCTGCAGTTCCAGAAATTCACCTGAGGGGACCAGGGTGGGGGGCAAGGTGCTCTGGCTAAAAATAGAACAACTCAGCTACAGTGTGCCCCCTAGACATATGACACAAAATAGTTTTTCATATTGTATGGATGAAGTACTTTTTATTTTAGTGCATCAGTAAAATCAAATCTACTAAAAGCACTTACCATTTCAAAACTTTCATCATAAAAAGAAACAATTTACTGTTATAAAATTTGTTTTCAAAAATCAAAATACTGTAATTTTCATGAGTATAAATGAGTCCTTGGCTGATACCTTGTGTTGGAGGCGACACTGACATTGGGGGAGCTGGGGGGCGTGGAGAAGTCCATCTTGGGTTTGTCTAGGGTGGACATGTTACTGGGGGGAGAACTGGACAGTGACGGAGAATTGACCAGGGTGTTCCCCGTGTCCTCAAAGTCCACTACAAAATCAAAAACATTCCTCTCCAGTAAAAGTTAAATACATGTACTGTGGGTGTATATATGCTTGGCATGTCTCAAAGTAAATGCCAATGCACGTCATGAATTATTACTGGGCTCCATCATACACAACTGTGGCCAGTGCTGAATGTATGTAAAGATTACATTTTGGTATTACAAGATTATATGCTATGCACTGTGTTATCAAAATAAATATACATGTAAGATGATACCTAAAGTATAAATTATCTAAATTCTATAGTTAATTTTAAAATAAATCTGATAATACACAACTTACTGGAAGCATTCATAACATCACAACTGCCTATCTTAACCTCCTGGAGAGAAAAAAAAAGACAAAATGCACTTTAAAAATATTTACTTCTGAAACAACTCAAATACATAAAGCTTCATGAAAAATAAAAAAAATTCTGAGATCATTAATTTTAATGTTAAAATTTCCCTGTTGAAGGCAAAACTGCTGATAATTCTATTTGAAGATATTACTTTCAGGTATACGACAAATTCATATAAATGTAATTGTTTATCATTTTTTTTTAACCAAATAAAGATAAACAAATACTGAATTGCTTTGTTTATTTGCTTCTCCATCCGTACAAGTTAGAACTGAATCAATAAATCTTACACTAATGAACGGAATCAATATCTGGGATGAATCTTCTTCACCACTGAAAAATAAACCAATAAATTATCTGAGAAAGAAAGATGTGTTGGTTTTCTTTTTAATTTAGATTTTCTTCTAATATACTTCATGTTTTAACATTTTTTCCCCATAGAACAATTTTTTTTGCCAATTATCATTTTTGGGAAACACGAAACCTTCTATAACCAATATTGACTAATTATGTTCTAAGACACTAACCATTGACTAAATATCCCATAATGTTACACCTATATCAATTTTAAAATGTTTTTCAGAGTCCCTACCTTTTGGCTCTACACATGACCATGGCTTCAGCGATCGGGATTTGAACCACTGACCCTGAACAGTTCACATACTTTGACACTCGGCTTATAACGTCTTGAGAATCTACAATAGAAATCAATCATTCCAAACTCAAACAAGAGGCCCAGGGGCCACAGCGCTCACCTGAGAACATCAGCTAGGAAAAACCACATATCATGATTTGGAAGAACTAGAATCTACACTACCTGAGGATAATTCTACATAAATATTACTAATCATGGCTTTGAAGTACATGAAAAGAAGATTTTAAAAGGTTTTCCAATGTATTCCTTTGAGAATGTTTGGTCAGTTATTTTGGCCCCACCCTACCCCCAGAGGTCATGATTGAAACAAACTTGAATCTACACTACCTGAGGATAATTTCACATGAGTTTCATCTTTCCTGTCTAAGTGGTTCTTGAGAAGAAGATCTTTAAAGATTTTTCCTTTATATTCCTATGTAAAACTTTGATCGGCCATATTGGCCCCACCCTACCTCCAGGGGTCAGGATTTGAACAAACTTGAATCTACACTATCTGAGGATGATTCCACATGAGTTTCATCTTTCCTGTCCCTATGAATCTTGAGAAGAAGATTTTTAATTTTTTGTCTATATATTCCTATGTAAAACTTTGATCGGCCATTGTGGCCCCACCCTACCCCCGGGGACCATGATTTGGACAAACTTGAATGAACACTATCTGAGGGTGATTCAACATAAGTTTCATCTTTCCTGTCCCAGTGGTTCTTGAGAAGAAGAGTTTTAAATATTTTAAAAGATTTTTCCTAAATATTCCTATGTAAAATTTTAATCGGTCATTGTGGCCCCACCCTTATCCCAGGGGTCATGATTTTAACAAATTTAGATTTACACTGCCTGGAGGATAACTCCACATGAGTTTAATCTTCCCTGACCCAGTGGTTCTTGAGAAGATTTTTTAAAAATGCAATTAATTTTTCTCAAATTCATAATTATCTCCCCTTGGAAAAGGGCGTGGCCCTTCATTTGAACAAAATTGAATCCCCTTTACCCAAGGATACTTTGTAGCAAGTTTGGTTGAAATTGGCCCAGTGGTTCTTGAGAAGAAGATGAAAATGTGAAAAGTTTACGACGACAACAACTATGACAACAATGACGACAGACAACGGACAAATTTCAATCAGAAAAGCTCACTTGAGCCTTCGGCTCAGGTGAGCTAACAATGCAGAGCCTACACAGGGAGATAATCCACTGTAAAATAAACGACTATTGAAAAATCTGGCAAAAGATTTGTAAAGAAAAGCTTAATATTTATAATCTTTAGGGAAAAAACTGTTAAATGTATAATTCTTAAAAGGACAGTTTTCTCAAGAATTGAAACAGGAAGCAATGTCCACATGTGTGGTAGTAGAGCACCTATAACTATTGTAGGGAAGAGGGGAGTAAACAGCTGAAAAAATTCAATGATTAGTAACTTACCCAGTTTTGGGGCATCATTCTTTTCGAATGTATCCTTCCAAGTTTGGTCCAGGAATAAAGCACTGTAAGTACTGTCTAGACTGCCTATGTACTTCCCTATAGAACTGGAGCCTGGAAATGTACAAAATCTATAAATATCACATACATAAAGCACTGTAAGTACTGTCTACATAGAGCACTGTAAGTACTGTAAATCACTATTTATTCGCGAGAACTTTATTTTCGCGTAATTACGCGAGAAAATATGCTTGCGAAAATTTCATTCTCGCGTTTAATAGTATTCTGTAAGATCATATAGAGCAATGACCACAATTCGTGAAAATTTTGTCTCGCTTGTAAAGAGCCAATGACTATCACGCGAAAATAAGGTTTCGCGAAAATTAAGTGATCTACAGTACTGTCTAAAATGTCTATGTACTTCCCTATAGAACTGGAGCCTGGAAATGTACAAAATCTATAAATATCAGGTACACTTTTGGGCACTTTCAAGTAGTGCTGTGCGATATTACCGGTTAACCGGTGTATCCCGATTTTGTTCTTCACAATACGTATCGCGGTATTTTTTTGTGAATACCGGTTCGGATTCGATATGCTATAAATTGTTACAAAAAGAGTTATTTGCCCTTTTCAAGGTAAAATATGGCGGCAAGCGACGTGAAGTGTGATCAGAAACCAGAGACATGTCTCTTTCAAAAAAGAATCGACGACAACTGTTATATGAAACCCCTTCATGTTAATTTAAAAGCTGAATCTGAGTATTACAATTAATTGAATTCTACAAGTTGTGCCAACAAAAAAACTTATCTTGCTGCTTGCGCCAACATAACGCGATCAGGCAATATTAGAATATGAACTCGAGAATACATGTAATTTGAGTTTGTGTTTTCATTTAACTTTTACGAAAAGCAAAATATTATTAAATATTTATATTGTGATATATTGCAATACAAAATATAATATTGCGATATATCACGATACGATTTTTCCGTCGCGATACCCAGCACTACTTTCAAGTAATGTACAAGTTCTATAAATATCAGGTAACGTAATACCAGGTACAGTAAAACTCGGTTATAACCAAGTCACAAGGACCTATGAATTTACTTCGCTATATCCGTAATTCATTATATCCATTTATTACACACTTAGTATTAAATACAGGTTTTTTGCATATGCGATATGCCTGACGTCACAACAGCCGTATCAGCCCTGCAGGGCTGATATGGATTTGCGGGGTTGATAACCTACTGTAGATCACTTAATTTTCGCGACACCTTATTTTAGCGAGAGAGTCATTGACTCTTTATTAGCGAGACATAATTTTCACGAATTGTGGTCATTGCTCTATATAAGCTTAAGGAATTCAATTATACGCGAGAATGAAATTTTCGCGAGCATACCCTCCCGCGAAATTACGCGAAAATAAAGTTCTCGCGAATAAAAAGTGATTTACAGTATATCAGCCCTTCAAATCCATATCAGCCCTGCAGGGCTGATACGGCTATTGTGAGGTCAATATCACACCCTCAGTAAATTAAACCACAAAAACAGTTCTTGTGATCATACACAATTTTTGGTGGGTCCATGTTCTCTGAATTTTAACTTTTTGAAAATAAAGTTAATCTTAATTTACAAATACATATAAAAGATTATTTTCAAATTACTGATCGAGTGCATTGAAATAGAAGTAGAAACAAACCCAAATCGTATGAGACAATAGACCATGTACATGTATGTAAGAAGTCCATGCATGATTATTTACTTATTTTCTTCTCAACTTAATGCATGCTGTATTTTATTACTAAGTCTGTAATAAATATACTAATACATACCCTTTTCCACATACATCCTGTATCAGCCTGAGATCTGGCTGATATTGGTGTCTCGGGCTGATACAGGATGTGATATGGAAAAGGGTATGTATTATTCTCTATATAAGGAATACATTAAATTTATATAGCTAGGGATCCAAAATAACTTCGCTTTAACTGTGATTTCGCTATATCCGTGTTTCTACTAAACGAGTTTTGCTGTATTCAGAATATTAATGAAGTAATACTGAAACATAAAATTACAGTTAAAAAGTAGAAGTTATACAAAAAAAATTTTTGTGAAAATTGAGTGTTTCATGAGAACCGAACATTTTTGACAACTTTACTTACAAGATTTTTGGAATTTACTCCCACCAAACTTTATATTAGTATGACCCACAGACATGATAAAGGACTTGATGTTTCGTATTTACATTCACCAAACATATTATACATACATGTTAACTCTCCCGATTTAGGCGGGAGTCTACCGCTTTTTCACTCCATCTCCCGCCTACCGATTTAATTCAGAAATCTACCGCTTTTCTACAAAAGTTGCGTCTAAAGTATTTTTGGTTCACTTGGGTATCCATTTTTGAAGCCACTCTCATAAAATCTCGCTAGATATCGCGTGATTTGACTGGGAATCATACAAACGCTTTTTTTGTACATAGATTTCAAGCACGGATTTGACAACGACAACAACATAAGACTACCAGTGATTACATTGGTTACGATAAATTAATCAACATCCCTGCCGTGAAAAAGGAGATACAGCTTTTAAGAATTAGAAGAAAACATTTGAGATCGTCTTTAAAAGCACAGAAGCTCACAACTTTATCAATAAAGTCAATAGAAATCACTCGATTGACCAAGCCATGTGGCACATCTCTACTTTCGTTTTCGATCATCGCGGGAAATCTGATTTATATAACGAAAGATACGAACTTGTTTTAGATCTAGATTAAACCATTTTATCATTTGTTTTGTTTAAAAACTGAATGAACATTCAGAATTATTGCTTCTAGGCTATTTCAGCAAAGATCACTCTTCAAAAGGCTAAGTAAAGCAGCCAATCCAAGCAAAATGATGAGCATGAAAAATATTTGAATTTATACAATTTATGTCAAACTTAAGGTGTTTCTGTCTTCTTCTTTGCTGTTGATATTTAAGATTAATTAGTGTAGGTACCTGATTTCATTTAAGGCTTATAATATACATGTATATTACATGAAAGATATCGATAATCCAAGCGTTAAACAACACGCGCGCAATGCTACCGCTTTTGAGGTCTGAATCTCCCTCTTTTTCATCATAATAGGTTAACATGTATGTATTATAAGAACTTGCTTTTTGGTAGTAAGACTCATCACATGGTAAACTAAAGAACTTGATTTTTTGGTAATTAGAGTCAGTAAATTTGATATCTGGTAATTAGACTCGCAGAATGGTATGATTCTGGTAATATTAGACTCACCGAATGGTATAATGAGGAACTTAACATAGGTCTGCCAGTCTGGAGGTTTGGCTGAGAACTGCTCGACGTATGGTCTGAGGACTGTGTTAATATAACTATCACTCCCCGCTATACACACCTTGATAGCACTCGGGGCCTTGGAGTTACTGTTACAGCTAAACCAATCAAAACACAGACAATGATACAGCTAAACCAATCAGAGCACACCTACTGTTACAATTAAGATTCATTCATCTTTACAGCTAAAGTAACCATATCTTGTGTTACATTTACTTTTTATCATGCTACTTGTACTCACTATTTCTGAATTTTGGACACTAGAGCATTAATGGAGGCCTTAACGTCAGGTTCTCCACACGTACATATAACATTATGACTGTGATCCTGAAGCTTCTGATGAAACACCTACAGCAAATACAAGGTCAATCTCAATCTTACTGCAACAAATCAACAAATACAAGGTCAATCTCAATCTTACTGCAACAAATCAACAAATACAAGGTCAATCTCAATCTTACTGCAACAAATCAACAAATACAAGGTCAATCTCAATCTTACTGCAACAAATCAACAAATACAAGGTCAATCCTTTAGTCTGAAAATAGCCCTTCAGAGCTTATGTTTTTGCAGTTGTCAAAACCAGACCTTCAATGTTATCTTATCATTAAACTCCTGTACAGAACTACTATTTAACTCCTGTACAGAACTACTATTTTCAAGTTAAGTACATTTTATCAATGCTGTATACAGTGTTATTTTCGCCCCGTGTTATTTTTGCCCTTTAGCAGTTGCAAACAGTTTGCCCCATTTTAAGTTCGCCCAATCATAGTTCTGTTTAAGAAATTATGCTGTGTAATTTCAATTCGCTCCGTCTTAAATTCGCCCATTCAGGAAGAGGGCGAAAGGGGCGAAAATAAAACGGGGGCGAAATTTTCCCTGTATACAGTACCTTGTCATTTCTCATTGACCTTCAGCTTACTTAATATAAATTTGAGATTTAATCTACTATGCAATAAAGTTATAGCAATTTGTTTAAGTCATGACCTTGAATAACAAACACTAGTGTCAAGGTCATGTAGCACCTCTACATATATTTATACTTGCCTGTCCCTGCCATTCTGAGGTGTTGACCAACATTACAGATTCTGGTAGATTGTCATCTGACCCCCCAAACACCACCCCTAACTGTTCCATCAGAGCTTTCCGAGGCTGGAGTAGAGAGATCACAATGTAACTCAGAGTACAAAACAAACGTATAGCAGATTACATGTACTAATATTACTACCTTATTAAGTCTTAATGACACACATGAAGAAAATCTACAAATTTTTTTGACATATGATACTAAATGCAGCAAGAGAAAAGTTGATGAAAATTGTTACCATGCCAGAATATACATGAAAAAAGTCATTTCTTGAAGCAGTGCAGAGAAAATATATAAAACACACAATCTTTAAAATCTGAACATTTTCTTGATTAAAAGTGACACATAAAATCACAATTCTGGTTTATAGGTTTTTGGGTATACATGTTTTAAAGTAAAATCGCACAGCAACAAAGCTCTTTTCAAAAGACTAGTAAAAATTAATACACTGTAAACACTCACCCTTATAATCAGAACACAGGGCCCATAATAATTAGACAAGCTCTTTTTTGATCTCAGTCTCACTTTTACCAAAGGAACATATAGTGAAGAATTGAGACTGAGATCAAAAGTGAGCTCGTCTAAGTTTTAAGACCCCAAGGCAAGGTCCTTAACTCAAGTAAAAATGCTGGCAGGTGTCAGTCAAATGAATCTGGGTATTATCTAGTCTACTTCTGAACATTAAGTTTGTTATATTGTTGGACATTAAGTAAAACTTGGGTTTAATTTCACTCATCACTAACTTAACTGAAGCAAGATCTTGTTTGAGACAGGAAGCAAATTCTAAATGACTGAAAAAACAAAACAGAAATTGAAGAAAAAATGTATTAAAAATGTGGCTGGAATAAAAAATAGTCTTCATGCTGGCTTACGTTTTTCATCTCTGAATACATGAAGTGTGGTGAAAAACAGATTGAGTAAGATACAACATAAAGCAAATAAAGAAACTTATATACTTTATAAATAAACACTACTCCCATTTTGTATTAGCAACTACCCAAATGTTAGCACATCTAAAAGCATGCTATACAAATTAACAAATTTACCACACACTCAAAGCACCAAGATGGCTGTTTTTCTTTGCCAGCATGTCAAAACAGATCATGTTTAATGACAGATTTTATGCTTGCTCATGGACAACAATGCTCACCTGAGTATAAATCTCCTAAGATCTTTCCCTTATTCCTTTACAATTTTGATCAAAAGGACAAAATAAACCCCAACAAAATGTACATTAAAAAAAAGGTAATTCCACCCTCCTGTGATGTCATAGGTTTTTGCAAAAACTGTAATTAGTTTGAATTCATACCTAATAGAACAATATCTTTTGGAAAAATGCTTTCCAACAGAAAAGAATTTAAAAAATGCATATTTTCTTTATTTAATCAAGTATTCAATCTTTTAAAAATGTTGACAAGGGCAGTAACTCCTTCTAAGGTCTCATTTGCTTTATTGTATTTCTAATGTAAAATACTTTCCCTGATATTCACAATTCAATCATATCTTATAAGTAAGAAGTATTTAGGAACATTCAGCATCAGAATTATGCATTTTAAGCAGTTTTTACATATTTTTCATAATACTGTTTACAAAAAATGTGCGATTTTCTAATGATGAAATACACTTCTGTTTATTTATGTTTCTTATCTTAAATAATATGGTGACCTATACATTTTTTGCAATAATTGGAAAATTTGAAGTATATCAAATGAAAATAAATGCAGTTTTTGTACTTTAAACCATTAAAATCGTGAGGGTGGACTTCTTTTAATGATGCTAGAAAGCATGTTTTGTGTAAACCAAATATTACGACAGTTTTTTTTCCTCTGTATACATTCCACATAAAGCTTTGTGCTTTTTGAATCAAGTCAAATTGTTTCAGTGACAGTGTTAGTAAGGTGAAAAAAGTCAATATATTTGTAGAACTTGACAACAGACAAAGACAAACACAGATCAGAAGAGCTCATTTCAGCCTTATGATTACATAAACACAAAACAATTTAACAGATCCCAACAAATTCTGGACATGCAAAACAGACAAAAAAAAAACAACCACCCTTTACTTCCAAGGTCACCAATACCCCCTTCATGGCAGAGCTATAAAAAGAACAGTGGTGCTGATCAAGGCTTTAGCAAGATTGCCTAGGAGTGTGTGAGGTACAGAAGATATTGTGTTCTATAAGATACATGTAAGTAATCTGTCTATATCAGGCTAGCTGTACTGCCTCAGGCCACATACACTGTGTGTTAGTTCATGCTCCTTGGCCGGGGTACTACTAACCGATCCGTGAATTAGACCCGTACTGTGACGGCGGTGTCGCTCCCCTTTATTGTGCTTTCCCTCTCGATACGATCGACTTCGGCCGTGACTTATTTTGCCTTTAGTTTCAGGCGAAGATTTGTGATCTTCTACGTGTTCTTTTTCCTATTGCCGTCAAAAATTAACATTTACTATTGAGGCATTGTGAATATCAATTACAACTAGACAATTTATCATTGGGTAAAACATGTACATATTAGAACTTTACAACTGTTACAATCAATTGCCAATGATTTTGAACAAGATTTTCTATATCTTTAAAAAAAACCTACTGTTATCAATAAAATAGAAAATATCCTGTACCAATCAATAAAAGTTTGATGATTAGTCTTTAGTTTAAATAGGAATATGTGAGAGGCAGTCATGTATTATAACTAAAATATATACATACAGATTACTTGGGGTTATAAATAATATTAAATGATTGTATAATTAAACTATAAATTGTTTAAAAACAGCAGCTCAACCGGTGCTCAAATATACAAGTGAAAAAACGGTGTCAAGTGAATCAAAGAAAGTAGAAAAAATGGGGAGAAAAAAGAGAAAAAAAATCATAATTTGAGGGGTACACAGGCTACAGGGGTTCTCTAAAGTTATATTTATAGATTCTATAACCAAAAATATTTGTTTAAAAGACCCTCAGAAGAAGTCAAATAAATAAGAGGAACAGGAAAAACATTAGAAACACAAAAATTCAGTATATGGTACACAAACAGAGACAAAATACGTCACAAACATGCAAACATTGACGCAAAACAGGATATACACAACAATACTGGTATGTTAGATGAGCAATTCTTCTAATGCAGCATAAATGCTTTACAATGGCCAATGGTTAGGAATGGATATGAACTATCTAGTTGTTTCCCTTCCCGCTTCCTATCAAAAACATCAATCTATAGTTGTATATGTATGAATTGTCTGTCAGCCAAATGTGATTAAAGTTGGATCTGGAAATATGTTTATAGGTACTTGTTTTAAGAACTTTTTTTCAATTAAATATTGTATACAAATAAAAAAAACAAGTTATGATTAATAATCCATCTTGCTACAGAATTGTTTATGTGACATACAATATAAGATAAGTAAGATTACAGTATACATAAACATGTATGTCTTCCAATACTGGAAAAGGTGGGGTTTCTTTTTAATTGCTGAGGGCATATGCACATCATGAATAAAATAAGTCTTTCTTAGGTGAGAGTAAAATTGTTATACAAAACAAAGCTACAATACTGTACAGATTTCTAATGCAGATGATTTACATCATGCTATATATTTTTTAGTACTGTAGACAATGAAGCCTAATCTTATATGACCAACAGGTCTTGTAAACAGCATGCTGAAAACTAATCCAACTCCTGTTTCATAAAAATTGTAAACTAGACAGACCAAATGCCAATAAAATATTTGAAAAAGTGTACCAAATCAAAATCACAAAGTTGGAAATTATAATAATCACCAAATAATGCCAACCAAAAATGTTCCTTTATTAATCAGTTGAGGAGAATTCTTTTGTAATTTTGTCTATTTAGTTGGCTTAGATGATTACAGATAAATGGGGTAAGGGGATATGAAAGTTACACCTCAGAACACTGGTTTATAATTTATTTGTGGTGATAAAATGAATCTTGATGTTGTGTCATAAACATAGCTGCTTTATCTGTCTGAGAAAAAAAATCACTTGTGTATGAAATATATCAAATTTATCTTTAAGGAACTATTGATATTAATAAGGGGGGAGTGCGGCTATTTTGAAAAAAAAGTATAATACATTCTGCTATATTTATTTAATCATAATGTGTAAAGCAGTATCATTTCACTTTTTGAATTTGATTTTAAAAAGTGCTACAAAATTTTAAAAGAATAATGTAGAAAAAGATCATAAAAATGTACCGAGGGGGACACATAGTAAAAATACTAAAAATCAAGACAAAAATACCAATCAATGAGGCCCAGTGAGAAGACTGACCTTTTTACACTTACCATTACACTGTCAGGCTCCTTTTTGATGGAGGTTGCATCATCACTATTTTTATCTGGGTCCTGTGTATACAAACAAACAGCTGTTTACAACATCCAGCTCTGAAGCACTGGCAGACAACATTCAGTCTGACAACTAGAGTACAGGACTAGAGTCCGAGATTAATACAGATCTATATACCTTACTTCTTATAACACATGCTTTAATGGATTACGAAGTATTATCTGGTAGAAAATAAACCAAGGAAGCTTTATAAAGAAATAAACTGATGCGGTATGACGGGATGACGATGAGTTACTGGGCATGCTCACTGGGTCTATGCTGGTGGCCTTACCTTATTACTGTCATCTGGTTCTACTGTGCTTGTTCGGCCTTGGAAAAATGGTCTACAAAAAGAAAATAAATGGATTATCAGAAGTTAATTTAAATTATGTATCAATAACAAAATAAATGTTGCAGTATTTTCTTATTCCTATGAAACAAAATTCTTATTATGAAATAATTTTTTATTCTTTCTGGTGGATAATAAATATCATGACACCAGTGTTGGTCTGGGTTGGGTCTGGACTGTTTAAATTACAAACTCATCTGAGTCTTGTTCTAAAAGTTAAAATAACAAACTCAACTGAGTCTTGGTTTTGGCATTGAGATCACAAACTCATCCAAGTCATGGGTTAGATATGAGATAACAAACTCACCTGAGTCATGGTTTTGGGGTTGAGATATTAAGCTCACCTGAGTCTTGGTTTTGGCATTGAGATCACAAGCTCATCAGAGTCATGGGTTAGATATGAGATAACAAACTCACCTGAGTCGTGGTTTTGGGGTTGAGATTACACTGACAGCGTCTGGGTCCATTTCCTGGCCGCTGTCACTCATGCTCTCAGCCAGCTCGTCGATTAAGTCTTCGATGTCGTCGTTTGGGTCCTGATTTGTGTCGGGAAATTCTTCAGGGTCTAATGACTGTAAAATAATCATGTCAACTTAATATCTCTGTATGATAAGCATCCTAAAAGTTTAATTGTATAATCAAAGATCCTTTCAAAAAATTATTAGCTTAATAGTAGGTATATAAAGCTTAGTTGTTTTACAGTTATGAGAAACTTGATAAAATTACAAGGATGGAGCCTTTTAGTTTTAAGGGGGCCGACTATAGTTTCCATTGCGCAATATTCGGCGCATCATAGTAAAATGAAGCGTCTTTACTGTTTTAATGCAACTTTTTTCACTTAATTATTAAAATTGAACAAAATTAAGAAATTATACGTATAAAAATGTAATTACAATTTGATATAACTGATTTTTTACCCGGATTTGCAATTGATAGGTAGGTTGACATCGTTACAGTGTGTTTTTGACGTTATGATAAACTGAATCTCTTAAAGAAAGGGGTTATAATAATGTTATTTAAGAAAAAGTAATAACCATACGCTCTTGAAATTTAAAACATAGAAATTTGAGAAAATGTCCAATATTTTTATTATGTTTTTATGTGAATTCATTGTGTACGTCATATTTTGTAGTACTCTATAAAAATAGTAATATTTGCTAATTTTTTGCATTTCGAGATGCCTCCTTTGGAAACAAGACGGTAGAATTTGTATTTCTTACATATATTGTATAATATAGTATTACACATCATATATTATAGTTTGAACAAAATGTCTATTGTAGTATTTGTATAATTTACTTTAAATTGCTCACAATTGGCATTTTCCTATATAATCCTACAGTAAATGTACCTGTACTTTGAGACGGTCCCTCAAAAATACCTGGACGGTAGATTTCCCCCAAACTTTGCATGTACACTAAGTTAATGTAAGTTATATATGGTATCAAACTGAAGAGTTTGGCTTTTGTAGTTCTCACACAATAAAACTATAGTCGGCTCCCTTAAAACAAAATGGAGATACGGGCAGTGTTCGACAGTCAGATAACCTAGTCATGCAGGACTGGCTGCTAGTTATAGTTTTCAGTCCTATCAAAAATATACTTGCAAAAAATTTGCTTTCTTGAGACTATTATAAATGTAAAAGCATGTTGTAATATATTTTTATTTTTGTCTTGTCATATTTTCCCCCCAAGCCTTGTTGTCCTTTGCTGGCAACCTGAGAGGGTGGATAATACATTAACAGAAACCATGTTTACCTCAATCATAATCTATTCTTTAACAAGAATCTTGATGTAAGTGTCAAGGACTGTCACTAGGACTCAGTTATCATAACTTTGATCCTGGTTATACAGATTTCTGAGTTCTGTCCCTTGAATTGTTAAACTGAATTGAAGTCAGAAATTTATATGAATGTGATGTACCCCAACTACAATTATTGTGAACACACAGTGTGCATATAATGCAATGGGGGCTAGTAGTGTGTGCACACAATAAAACAAGGGCTAGTAGTTGTCTTCAGGCCTTAATCACTAAATCAGACTCCATCCTTTACAAAGACTGCAGAGTTATACTTATATTTATCTGTTATAAGCTTCAGGAAGAAAAGGAGAGCAAGTGTTGAGTTAAAAGTGTTGAGTTATAAGCAAACCTCCTCGGTGATCTTGAATTTTCGAAGCAATGATACAATTTTCTGTTTAAAATTCCTCTGTTGCTGAAAAACAAAGAAATTAGCATAGCACACCTTTCCAACCATATCTTTCTAATCTAAGTGATAATGAATTGTGAATAAGCCACTGTACATATATATATTATATTGTGCTTACAATAACGCTCAACATTCAATAAATTCCAAAAGGCCAAACAAATTAGTCTTTAGTTTCTTGGGCCAAAAATTTTACAGAGGGCCGAGTAAAATTGAAATTACAGTTTCTCTGGGTTTTTTTTTTTTTATCTTTTTTGATAGGCATTTTTAGAATTTTCAAAATAAATAACAGAAAAATCTATGGTCACCATTATGTAGAAATGTGTAACATTTTAAAAAATTACCCAATACATGCATATTATTATGATATAAACTGCATTGCATTTATCACATAATTGATGCATGTGGGCCTGAGAACCATAATTTCAATTTTACACAGCTTAAAATGTAACAAGCAATTTTTATTTTAAAGCAAAAGCTTACTTTTTGTACTCTTAATTATTTGAAATTTAGTATGTTTTTTAAAATAATATTGTTAAACAAGAAACATACTGAGTATTCAATAAGAACATTGTTAAACAAGAAATATAGTGAGTATTCAATAAGAACATTTTTACTGTATTGATGAAAAGGAAATATCTAAATTCTCCGAAGAAAATTGAGTTATTCCCCTTTGCATTATTTGAAGAAGCAGTACCTGAGAAACTAAAGATTTGTTTCTTGGCCTACCCCGATATTTATATTGACCATGCATGCAATATCCCCCTCCCTGACTTACGCTGACTCTCCCCCTGGCTGTGGCTACACCTCGGGCTTGTGCTCGGTTCGATTTTCTTGCCCTCAGCCTTCCGTCCTCGTCCAAAGCCTCAGGATCACTGATGTCATCATTTGACCATTCTTCTTGATCATCCTCATCGTAGGACTCATTGTCAATATCCGGCGAACGATCTATAAAAAGGGTTTTCAAAGTTATCTTTTTTTGTACTTTTATTAAAAGCATCAACTTTGTGTTATATCTTATTAGAATAAGCAATTTTATTGTTTCAGAAAGATAATACACCCATTATAAAATCAAAGTAAGATTTCAAACTTAATATTCCAATCATACACAAAGGTACACACACCAATGAATTGTTTTCCTTCAATTAAGTTTAGATGCTACAACAAAACCTAGCAGTAATTGCCACTAATAAGTCTTGTATCATGTGACCTATCTACAACTCACCAACATCTGACAATGTTGTCTTCCTCTGACCGTTCTCTGTGTGGTCCACCGGCTGACTGGACAACTGTAACATGACCAGTGTGGCCAGCTTCTCTGTGTTGTCCTTCTGGTCACTGTACAGGGACAGGTCCTTATCATGTGTCCTCTGTAAAACCTTAAATAGAAAGTAAGACCACCAGTTTATATCACTGTACAGGGACAGGTCCTTATCATGTGTCCTCTGTAAAATCTTAAATAGAAAGTAAGACCACCAGTTTATATCACTGTACAGGGACAGGTCCTTATCATGTGTCCTCTGTAAAACCTTAAATAGAAAGTAAGACCACCAGTTTATATCACTGTACAGGGACAGGTCCTTATCATGTGTCCTCTGTAAAACTATAAATAGAAAGTAAGACCACCAGTTTATATCACTGTACAGGGACAGGTCCTTATCATGTGTCCTCTGTAAAACCTAAAACAGAAAGTAAGACCACCAGTTTATATCACTGTACAGGGACAGGTCCTTATCATGTGTTCTCTGCAAAACCTAAAACAGAAAGTCAGACAACCAGTTTATATCACTGTACAGGGACAGGTCCTTATCATGTGTTCTCTGTAAAACGTTACACAGAAAGTAAGACCACCAGTTTATTTCACTGTACATGTTTTGCTCACATGTATCATGTTGACATGTTTTGCTTATACGTGTTAAATTGACAGGTTTGCTCACACTTCATGTTGACATGATTTGTTTACATGTTGACATGTTTTGTTTACATGTTTCATTTTGACATGTTTTGTTTACATGTTTCATGTTGACATGTTTTGTTTACGAGATTCGTGTTGACATGTTTTGTTTACATGTTGACATGTTTTGCTTACATGTGTCATGTTTGAATGTTTTGTTTACATGTGTCATGTTGACATGTTTTGCTTACATGTTTCACGTTGACATGTTTTGTTTACCTGTGTCATGTTGACATTTTGCTTACATGTTTCATGTTGACATGTTTTGCTTATATGACTGGGTTTTGCTTACATGTGTCATGATGACATGTTTTGTTTACATGTGTCATGTTGACATGTTTTGTTTACATGTTTCATGTTGGAATGTTTTGTTTATATGTTTCATGTTGACATGTTTTGTTTACATGTTGACATGTTTTGCTTACATGTTTCATGTTGATGTGTTTTTTTTTTACATGTTTCATGTTGACATGTTTGCTTACATGTATCATGTTGACATATTTTGCTTATATGACTGTGTTTTGCTTACATGTGTCATGTTGACATGACCCACAGCCAGGGTTTTGTATCCTAGAATTGTCTTGTTTTTGTATTTCTTCCTTCTCTGTAACATCACTTGTAATTTGCAGTCCCTCTTTAAATAGTGTGGATACTGAAAAAAATTAAAATAACTGGATATAAGTTCTATCACTTGATAATACATACTTATATACTGCCCTTCAACAAAATGATATCTTAACACACAGGAAATTTCCTTCACAAACCTGAAGAGAAAATGTGAGGTCTAACTCTGTATCCAGTAGTCCCCCTGGTGGTACGATGATTTCATTTGATCTCAAAATTCTCTTAGAATTCTACAAAGGAAAGAAGGAGTATTATTTTAGGTTAATAAATCTGATTTATTCAATTGTAATTTTTTTTATTCCAGGAAAACAGGGATTTTTATTTTGGGAGATGGTAAGAGACTTGATCCTGTCAAACAAATCTACTCAAGAGACATAAGATTTTAAATCTTCCTTAATGTCAGTGTATGAATCCACTAGTTTTAGCTTAACATGTAACAAATTTGAAGAGAATTTTATAAATAAAGAAATTTTTACAAATGTATACCCTTAAGGTAAGGTAAACATGAAAGTATATCAAACGATCCAGTTACAGTAAAACTCGGTTATAGCGAAGTCCTGGGGACCTGTGAATTTCATTCGCTATATCCGTAATTCCTTATATCCGTATAACGAATTCGTATAACCATATATAGCGAATTCGCAACATGCATGTTTTCCTTCAAGTGTTTCTACTAAATATGTTAGGGAAACAAATACTACAAAACATACTTTCGATAACTAAGGTTTTATTATGAATTGAATTTTTATATTCAAATGCTAAAAGAATATAAAGTCAGTTCAGTTTATCAAATTTTGAGATCTTTGAAAGTTCGTTTTATAAAAGATGTAAATTTCATTATATTTAACCTCAACGTGACTCAAAATCAGTTCGCTATATCCGTAAATTCGTTATATCAGAGTTCGTTATAAACATAAAATTTTGCAAAGATTTGTTAAAATTTTGCCGGGGATCCAGAAAAACTTCGCTGTATCCGTGAATTCGCTATATCCGTGTTCGTACTAAACGAGTTTTACTGTACTTTCATCACTACAGAATCAACAATACATAAACATGTACATCTGGAAAAAAAAAAGAATCTTAAACTTGTGTGTGTCCCAAGATGCATCAATCAATCTTTACTATAAACCAAGGCAGGGCTCATAGTTACTTGGGAAATTGGACCTGCTTTAAAAAAAAAAAAGAACACAGCAAGAGTTCCACAAAATGAAGGCAAAATTATCTGATGCTTAACTGGTAAAAAACAAACTTTAAATATGCTTAGATGTACCTTCCCTACAAGTATGGAAATGATTGACTGATTGATTGATTAAATGTTGCTTAACATCGCTCTTGAGAATTTTTCGCTCATATTGAGACACCACCACTTGCTGGTACCCAACAAAGAGACATCTTTTTTTAAATGTTAAGAGTACTTAATAAATATTTATCAATTGGTGTAAAACTACACCAAATATAACCCACTCAGCAACTGAGCTAGAATATAGTAGAAGAAGACAAGTTTCTGATTGACTTACATGTTTGTACTTAGTTTATGTCAAAAGCTATTTTTATATTAAGATTTCAATGGCCTATAAAAAGTGTGATAATGTTTCTTTTGCAGTTCCTTGTATATGTTAAGCACTACAAAGCAATAACTCTCTCTGATTTGAAACAAAACAAAGTTGTCACAGAGAGACTCACTGTCCTCAAACAGGGGTTAACTTAATATTATTATGAGAACAAAGTTGAATATTTAAAAGATTCGAGCATTTATGACATTAATTATAACTTGAGTGTAATCATATGACTATAACTACAATCAGAAGCTACAGTCATACTTGACTAGACAGCAGTTCAGAATATATTACTTTTCCACTAGACAGAAGAGATATCCTTATGGTTCAGAAGGTGGGTGTGTGGGGGTGGAGGGACAAACACAGACGTACAAGTCTCATAATAAACTTTTCAAGACTCAGTAGGAGTAAATGCAGTGTTTGCTTTTGTTACTACTAAATTCATAATTAATTCATTTCACTCAATATTTATTTATAATAATAATTTGCCTAAAATCAGAAATATTTTTCTTTTAGCTAAAAGCAGAAAGTGTGAAATTAATTTAGGTGAATATATGGAGACAATGAACTTTCCCCTGCAGGAAACAAGGACTACTTCCTGATTGTATCATTCCTTGTTTATCTGAGCTTATATCACATGTATGCCATACAAGTTCACTTGTTGCCTAAGGTATATATAGTAGTAGGAAGTTATTGGAAAATTATCAGAAACCAGGGTAGTGTTTTGAATCTGTGACTAAAATACACCACAGACAACAAAGTTTAACCTTTTGTTTTTTTTTTGTTTGAAGACTACTCTTGTTATTAAAAGAATAATTTCATATTTGTCTGTTCTGGGCTCTAAATTAAATAAATGCCCTTACCTATAAGCTAATTAGAAAGAAATGTAAACAGAGTTCCATGAAGAGGCAATAGAATAAGTACTGAGGGAAGTTTAACATAATCTAGAATTAGCTTTGGTGAAAATACTTACTCTTGATGTAAAGTGTAACAGAAAAAGAAATTGTATGGTTGGACTGGGGAATTGCACCTGAGATGGCTGCATCACTAGTCAGATACTCTATCCTAATATTGACATACTGAGCTACCCAGGCCCATCGTCCAAGAAGATGTGTGGCTGGCCCGGGAATCGTACCTGGAACCCCTGAATCACTAGTATGACCGATAAGCTAGGGAGAGTCTACACTGTGGCTCGAGCTACAGCCCTCAGACTTAAAATCCAATGCTCTACCGAACACCGACTGAGCTTTGGGGTTAACCAACTAGTCAATGATACTAGGATCGTGGCCTCACTATATACAACTTTTAACTCTGTTACACTGGTCAGGCCCTCTACTGACTCAGCTACCAGGACCAGTATTCAAACCATATACAAAAGCAAATTAATTATTTTGAAAAAAATCATAATGCTTTGGATCAATTTAACTTCTACATCATTGGCAAAGTTCGCATATTCTTATGCATTTTCTCACCTGCATTTTAACAGCAATAATCACGGAATTAAGATCATTTTCCAGTGGTTTATGTATGATGAGTCTGCTCAGCGTAAGGGTACACAACCTGAAACCCGATCGAAAAAGTGGTACAGAATAATTCAACTTTTCCCACCCTTCTGTCAGTGTCAGAGGCGCACATGAAAAAAATTAAAAGCGTGTGATTTTAAGATCAAAACTACAATGTACAGAGAACGCCCAAAAACTTCAAGCAAATACCTTGGAATACAACTTGGGGCTGTTTTTTCCACCTCCAAAACAGCGAAGAACTTCATAGGCACAGGTTTTGTGCCGATCCCCATCGTTTTGGCAGACTTCTCCGCCATGTTTATTTTTAATTAAATTTGCGCATGCTCACTGAATGACTTCGAGAAGAAGATATTTCGTTCCAAAACTGTTTCATTTTTTCTGCATAATATTTTCTGTAGCCTTATAATAGATCAAAATGAGTGGTTTTTCTTTTCTAAGATGTTAAATATATAATTTAAAAAATTCCGAGGAATTTTACAAGTTTCTTAAAACCGCGTAGTTTTGATAAGTTCAGAAAACAATCAGCTGCCACTGGACAGTTCCAAAATCTTTGTTTTATTTGAAACACTAGTTTACAGTTTTTTTATTCTTTTGCCAGTGAAGGTCAGATTATTTAATTTAAAAAAATAATAAGAAGAAAGAATATAATTATCATTCCTATCATTCCTATCGTCTACGCTGAAAAAAGTAACGTTTAAAAGAAAAAAAAAGATGGGGGGGGGGTCCAAAACTCTGCTGTATCCGAGAAGAACCGGGCAGATTATGTATTGGTATTCTTAAAGAAACTGTTTTAAACTAGCACACCACGCATCTTAGAAAAGCCACACCAATATTTTAATTCTTATTCATTTCCCATTTCTTTTAATTATTTTACAGGACTCGATCAACCTCCCAAATTTTCAAAGAAAAAATGTAAATTTTGATGCTTCTATCAGCTGTTTATAGAGTTACTTTGCTTTAATGAATGCTCAACATGGATATCTAATAAAATATATCAAAAAGCCGAAAAAAGGCCTTCTTAATATTTTTATCACGGCTGGAAATAATAATTCTGAATATTCTTAAATCTTCGGATAAGAATTTACCTAGAGACAAAATGTTAGAAAATAATATTTTAAAAAAGAAATTGAGTGGTATTTTGGAAATTTTATGGAAGTAAATTATCTTAAAATCTTAAAATTTGAAAATAAATAGTCCCAATCAAAATTGTATAAAATGGAAATACAATACAATTTATTTATGTATCTCAATTTCATTTTGCAAAAAAAACATGAATATCGAAAAAAAATATATTACACTTTTTAATTGCACAAAAAAAAACTATTCAATATTTTTAAAACTGTCAAAAAATACCACTCTCTGTTTTCCTTATAATTAAATAGTTGCTGAACTGTAGCTCTTCTTGATAGAGGAGAAAAGAATTTTTTTTGAAAAAAATATATTGACAGATCGGAAAGCTACAGTGCCTCTGTCAATATATTGTTCTCCAAAAAAAAAACTGAACATTTATTACGCAATATATACAAAAAAAAATTGCGCTGTTTCAGGTAAAATTAATCTTTAGATTTTATCCTTGCTCGGATTTTATTTTTTATTTTCAATAATTGTTATTTTTAAAACTGTACACATTTTTTTCATTATGTTAATCAATATGAATATAAAATTTTACTAAAAAAAATAACCTGTGTTCCTAACATATTCTTTCATTGTTTCCACAACAAAACATTCCTTATAATTATTTTTAATAGCCCTCCTGGCCCTAGAAAATTGAAAAAAAGATCAGTTTTCGATTTAAAATTCCAACTTCAAGTTCAATTTATTCGCTCAAACCATATAAATGGTACATGAGGTTCAACAATATATGTACAATATAAACAAAAAATTATATACAAGAAACACGTGAAATGGCGGAAATACATTCGTATGAAGTAAAAACAAAAATAATTATGGAGGTAAGACTTTTTCATATACTCTATTTATGTAACTACAAAATTTAATTAATACCTTGGAGTCAGCAGATGACAACAGTTCTGAGAATTTGAAAAAAAAAATGGTCTATTACAAAATTTACTAGGAAGATATTTTTTTCTACATTCGGAAAAAAATTTACATTCTAAAATATAGTGATACTCATCAGCTATTTGTCCATTATTACAATGATTACATAGCCTATCATTTTTGGGAATTCCAAACCATCTCCCAGTCTCAACTGGAAGACGATGATTTGCTATTCTTAGTTTAATTAAATTTGTTCTAAACTTTTTTGGTAGTAAGGCTAAATATTTTTCAAATCCAAATTTTGTTTTGAAGATACTATATTTAAGACCTTTAGTCGAATCGCGCATATTACTTCTCCACTTCTGTATGTACTGATCTTTAACACGTTGTTCAACTATAGCTTTCAGCCATTTAATATTTAAAAAGATCTCTTCATTCCATATATTTGAGAAGCCACAGCTATCGAGTATATTCTTAATACATAAAATCCAATGATTCTTATATGACTTCCTGAACAAAACTGTTTAAATAAATGTCTATATGTAACATAAACAATCTTATTTTCAGGGCTTACCAATAATTTTGCCCAATAGGATATCATTCTTGAATACACTGTTATATACAAAAAATTAAGGGAAGCAACCTGTTTCGCCATAAACCATATAACTAGGAGTAGTACTTTTTAGATTAAAAATATATTTCAAAAACTCAAGATGAACGCGTTCAATTATTTCAATGTTCTCAAAACCCCATTATCTCACATCCATACAGAAGTACTGGAGTGACAACTTTATCGAACAAATCAAGCTGGCAATCTACTGGTAAATTAAATTGTCTAATTTTTCGTATAATTCTATACATGGCCTTTTGAGCTTGCTCACATAAATGTTTTTTAGTTTTACAGAATGAGCCTGATCGGGAAAAGAGTATACCTAGGTATTTAAATTCGTTTGCATCGAATAAAAAAAAATTAATAAGTTTGAACTTAACAGACAGTGTATGTTATTGTAAATAGTATAAGAATGGTTTGAACACAATGCAAGTTCTAAAGTTCTCATCATATAAATGGCCACAACTGTGTGGAAAGTCATATCAATAACTATATACCGGTATATGTACATGTAAATACATGTACATGTAAATACAAAAAAATAATAATTAATCACTCAGTGCATTAAAACTCAAAAAATTGACATGGAGGTTGCGCAGATCAATTCCATCGTTCAAAGTTGTTTAGTTTTGAAACAAAAATCATTATAAGATAATTATAAGATAATTTTTCTTGAGGGAACTTTAAAACATAAAGATGGAAAAAAACGAAAGCCATTACCTTAAGCATCAGTCGAACGTATAAGTGGAATATAGATTTTTGCAGTGATGATAATACATACATGTCAGTGTATGTAAGAATATGCGTTTCGATCAATACCTGTAATCAACCATTAATGAAGAACCTCAGTCAAAAATAAATTATCAAATATTACAGAGTCAGAAATAAATTATCAAATATAATAAAGTCAGAAATGAATTTTCAAATCATTTTTTTTATTCCAATACAAGATATAATGGTCAGTAATGGATATGTCTACTTATGACCAGCCCCTGTGCGAGTTGACCGGTCAATGGGCGTTTCTCTGGCGCTTCATCGTGCAATCAAAAAAGGACGTCCGGAAATTGTTCACAGCAACTCCGGAAGTGAGATCGATGCGGGTTAGGCTGCCCTGGTGTGACACCGGAACTTATTAGAGGTTACGGCGACCCAGAAACAGGTGCCCGTCAGACACAACTGTTGTAGAAATTATTGACATTTTGCTTCAGATTTTTCTCTTCTTGCATAATGTTAAGAGTATTCCATAGTTAGAATCACTGTTTTCCTTTGCGAAGCTGCCTATTTTGACCAAGGTTATTGACTATACTAAGAGTTACCTGCCACTGTAATATACGTGTTACTGACTACAGGGAGTTACCTATATGTAGACCAAAATAAATACACTACATATATTTCAGACTACATAAAGACCAATAAACTAGTAACTACAATACATATACTGTGAGTTACCTATCGCATTGACCAGGATAACTTCAATAAGTATAACTGACTAGCACTGGGAGTTACCAATATATGTAGACCAAGCTAACAACAATACGTGCTACTGACTACAGGGAGTTAACATAAATAGACCAAGATAATTACAATACGTGTTGCTGAGTACATAAAGACCAATATAACTACAATACGTATACTGAAGGTTACCTATCGCACTGATCAAGATAACTTCAATACGTATAATTGACTCCTGGCAGTTACCCGTATAAAGATCAAGATAACTGCAATACGTGTTACTGACTACATAGAATTACCTATACATAGACCAAGATAACTACAATACGTGTTACTGACTATACAGAGAGTAAACTATATATAGACGAAGATAACTACAATACGTGTTACTGACTATAATGAGAGTAAACTATACATAGACCAAGATAACTACAATACGTGTTACTGACTATAATGAGAGTAAACTATACATAGACCAAGATAACTACAATACGTGTTACAGAATACAGAGAGTAAATATAGAACAAGATAACTACAATACGTGTTACTGACTATACAGAGAGTTAGCTATATATATACACCAATATAACTACAATGCGTGTTACTGACTACAGAGAGTGAGCTATATATAGACCAAGATAACTACAATACGTGTTACTGACTATTATACAGAGAGTAAGCTACACATAGACCAAGATAACTACAATACGTGTTACTGACTATTATATAGAGAGTAAACTATACATAGAACAAGATAACAACAATACGTGATACTGACTATACAGAGAGTAAACTATATATAGACTACGATAACTACAATACATGTTACTAACTACAGAGAGTTAGCTATACATAGACCAAGATAGCTACAATACGTGTTACTGACTATACAGAGAGTAAGCTATATATAGACCAAGATGAATACGATGCGTGTTGCTGACTAAAGAGAGTAAACTAAATATAGACCAAGATAATTACAATACGTGTTACTGACTATACTTCGAGACTGAGAGTCACCTACTAGTATATATAGACTAAGATATATAAAATACATGGTTACTGTTTTGAAATATAAGCGATATTTGGGCGAGGGTAATAAAACGTGATAGAGGGCGAGGCTTGCCAAGCCCTCTTACGTGTTTGACCCGAGCCCAAATATCGCTTATATTTCAAGAAAATTATCATGTATTTTGTTTATCCTGAAACATATCCTTTACATTTGAACGTCCAAAACTAGCTATTTCCGACAGATTTCGGCACATCTAT